AAGAAAACTAGCCTGAACTTTTCAAACAGTCAATACCACAAAAAAGAAGGAAGGAAGGTAGCAAGGAAGGAAACTAAAGCAACGTATGGCCAAACGTAACACATAAACTTCGGGTTTAAAAGCACAGCCATCAGAGACCTGTGAGGGAATCTGAACCGGACTGGACATGAGATGACACAGGAATCATCCTGTCCCTGGGCGTGGCAGCGGTCCCGGTCCCACAGGGCTCTGACTCAGGCCCTGGAGGGTGGGAGTCCATGATGTTTGCACCTCACTTTCACTTCATTCTCCAAACACTGAGAGAAAGCACAGTGTCAATAATTATTGAAACTAAGTGGAGAGTATCTAGGGGGTATGTTGTACCATTTCAGCCATTTTTCTGAATGCTAGACATTTGCCAAGACCAAAAATTGGGGGAGATGTTTTTCAATCTAAAAAAATTGTATTAATTAAAAAATTTTAAAAGAGTACTTAGGCAACCAAGTGGTGACTGGTTTGGAGGGGAAAACAGCCTCAGGAAGATTCCATACAACCTGAGCTGAGTGCCCCCTGCATGGAGTGGGGATGCTCAGAAATAGCCCACCTTTGGGGGCACAGTTCTTGAGGTGCTAGCCTACCACGTCCCCTCTCTGCCTGGCAAGGAAATAAAGCCACTCTTTCCTTCTCCTCTTTAAAAAAATAAAGAGCCCACCCTTAAGGCACACATCCTCTAGTTTTGAGGAAAAGTGCAGGGCAGCCAGCTGGGCACACGGGCAAGTGAGGACAAGAGAACATGCAGGTCCCAGCCCGCCGGAGGCTGCTGGCCCGTGGTCGGGAGCCGCACTGTCTGGAGCTCCCTGAGGCCAGGCTCTCCCCTCCCCATTTCTATGCTCTTTATAGAGCAGCCCCCAGGGCTTCTCCCCACCTCTCTCCTGTCAACTGCCCTGCCCACCCACCTCTGCCATCAGCAGCCTCCCGCCCCACCCCTCCTCCCAAGCAGGCCATTGGTCCCAGAATTTGAGCCCATGAGGAACTGCCTGTGACAGAGGTCACCAGGTTCTTCCCAACCTGGCCCTGTCTGCCCTAGTATGCTGGGCCACAACACCCACCCCAATCGTATTAAATTTTTTGGCCATGCAGCGTGGCTAGCTGGTAGGATCAGCCCAGTAGTGAAAGCACAGAATCCTAACCACAAGACCACCAGGCAATTCCCACATCCACCCCAATCTTGGCTTCTGCCAAGGTGACCCTCACATTTCATTCATTCATAGCTTATACTGCTTAATCTGGAGCCATATTGCCTGGGTTCCAGTCCCAGGTCTGCTGTGTACTAGATGTGTCACCTCAGAGAAGACCCTTAACCTGTAAGTTAAAGGAGTTTGCTGGTGAATTTCTCTAGCCAGGAATGCAATTCCTGATTCTTTAAGAGGCAACCAAGTCCTACCTCCTCCAAGAGGCTGTCTGAGATTTCTTCAACCCTCCCTGCTCTCTCCTCTGAATTCCTTTAGCCTTTTCTGTTTCGTTTGCTACTGGACCACTTCACCCCTGCTACCTTGTTCAGTTGAGAACCACGTCTTATGCACGTGTGTATTTTCCAGGCTCTCCCTGCAGGTCACTTTCCCTCCTGAGGTCTGGCGTGGATGAGCAGTAATTTCCCTTTGAACCGACTCCAGGATCTTGCTGCACTTTGAATTTCTCCCATGTGGGAGGGAGATCTAAAGGTTCCTTAAGCTGGAAAGTTTTATGAAATAGGGGTCAGGGAGGACACCACCAGGACAAGCCCTAGTCTGACACTTTGTAATGCTTAGATGAGGCCTCCCAGGTGGCGTAGTGATAAAGTACCCGCTTGCCAATGCAGGAGACATGGGTTCGATCCCTGGGTTGGGATGATCTCCTGGGGGAGGAAATGGCTAACCCACTCCAGTATTCTTTCCGGAGAATCCCATGGACAGAAGAGCCTGGTGGGCTGCAGTCCATGGGGTCGCAAGAAGACTTGAGTGACTCAGCACAACAGCAAGGATGCCCAGAAGACACTGAAGTGTCCTTCCTGCTTTGGGGAGGGGGACGCTGCTGAGGGGATAAGAGTAGGTTGGGGGGACAGCTCTGTCCTGTGTCCCTGGGAGCAGGGTGGGGAGACTATTTGCCAAACTTGCCTGGAGATAAAGGAAGGGTTTCCTCACACCCCGACCCGGTCTGTCCTTGGGCAGAAAGGGCGTTCGCAACGAAGGGGGCTTCCCAAGCTCATGCTGTCTCAGCTCTAGACTACAGAATCAAGTTCCCCAGCCAAGGCTGCCACGCTCTCCCACCCAGCAAGCTTATTTTAGTACAAAGGGAGAGAGATGAATGGAGGGCTGCAGTTTCTCCGTGTGTTGGCTTGGGCCTTCAGCAGAAATGAGTCTCATTACCCAACCCCAATTCAAGGGATAATTAACAGATGGTATAATTTCCGAGCATTCTCCACGCCACATGGCTACTAGGTGAAGAGCAAGATGCCCACGCAGCCCCTAGATCCTCCCAAGCCACAGAGTCAAAGGGAGCTGGAGAGGTGGAGCCCTGCAGAGGCCACTTAAGCCACCTTCTGTGTCTGGAGCCTTCGTTGGACTTGTTCATCTTCTGTCAGAGAAGAGGGCACTTCCCTGAGCTGGGGTTCCCCTGCCCACTTCCTTCTCCTCCTCCCATCCACCACCATGGCCAGGAGTGTAGGCTAACCCGAATGCCTCTTGCTCATTGTCTTTCCTTTTCCCCAGGGAGAAATAAGAAAGCTGATTTCCCATCCTTGGCATTACCCGGTGGTCACACAGAGGTTCTTTGGGCCTAGAGCCCCTGAGAGGCGCATCACAGGTCTCCTGCCGTGACGCGCTGAGAGTGACGCTGGTGTGCGCAGAGTGCCATGTTGGAAAAGAGTGAGCATCTAACCCAATGCTTTTCAACTGGCTTCCTCCAGACCCTCAAGCTCCACAGGGGCCCCAGTGGAGATGGGCAAGACCCTGACTCCTGCTTCAACCCCACAGCACATTTTTTTTTCAGATTATTATTTTTAAAATTTATTTTTAGTTGGAGGATAATTGCTTTACAATGTTGTGTTGCTGTACAACCGTGTGAATCAGCTATAAGTATGCACATATCCTCTCCACCTTGACCCTCCTTCCCACCCCTGCCGTTCCACCCCTAGGTCATCACAGAGCATGAAGCTGTGTTCCACGTTATACATCTGTTTCCTGCTAGCTACCCATTTTACACATAGTAGGGATATATGTCTATGCTACTTTCTCAGTTTTTCAGCGCCCCCCTTCTCTCCCTGTGTCCAAAAGTCTGTTCTCTAATGTCTGAGTCTCTATTCTTGCCCTGCAAAAAGGTTCATCAGTACCATCTTTTTAGATTCCATATATATGTGTTAATATACGATATTTGTTTTTCTTTTTCTGACTTACTTCACTCTGTATAACAGGCTCTAGGTTCATCTATGGAGAAGGAAATGGCAACCCACTCCAGTGTTCTTGCCTGGAGAATCCCAGGGATAGGGGAGCCTGGTGGGCTGCCATTCGCACAGAGTCGGACACGACTGAAGCGACTTAGCAGCAGCAGCAGCAGGTTCATCTACTTCACTAGAACTGACTCAAATGTGTTCCTTCTTATGGCTGAGTAACATTCCATTTTATATATGTACCACAACTTTATCCGTTCGTCTGTCATCTAGGTTGTTTCCATGTCCTAGCTATTGTAAATAGTAGCAGGACTACTTTTATCTGGCTTATCATCTGGGCTTCTACTTTATATTTCAGTGAAAAAGGGATTCTACCTTTAAATAAAAATTTGAAGTTATTGAGCTTATTCTATCCCATCATTTTACAAAAGGAAATTGGCACAAGTATTTGACCAAAGCCACACAGCTAGACGGTGGTAGGCTGGACCGCCTCCCTAGGCCAGCCTTCATAACCTCTGGCCCCAGCCCCTCGCTGCTCCCACAGTTGGCCCTGGGCCTCTGGACTGGGTATGAGAGAGGGAAGTCCCTTTGGATCACCCTCCACCTCCCAATGCCTGGCTCTCCTTCAAGGTCCAGCTTCCTTGCCTGGCCCTCTCCCAGGAGTCCTGGAATCTCTCACGCCCCTTCAAGTGGCAGGTCCAGTCTGAAGCCTGCGAGTGGAGAGGTGCCAGAGTCCCGTGTCCTGGGCAGGATTGTTTGCTGTCACAAAGCTGAGGGTGGAAGGAGGGGAGTGGCAGCTGGATGTGGATGGGGAAGTGGGGAGGGAGCAAGAGGTCATCTCTCTGGACAAGAGGCCCTATGGGGCAGTGAAAACCACTGGTCTAGGACTCAGGAAACTTGAATTAAAACTTGGTCCCACCCCTCTCCAGCCTTGTGACCCTGTACAAGTTTCACCCTCTCTGGGGCTCAGAACCTGCTAATATTATCATGTTTATACCCACTGGCTTTTGCTCTGACATTTCCAGCTTACCTCCCCCTGGCAAGCCCGGGTGGCATCCAGGTAGAGGTTGGGGTCATTCTGCACTGCATTCTGCAGCTGGACTCCAAGGGGCAGCCTGATTAGACCACAACTTTGCTGAGAGGTACGGGGGTGGGGGCTCAGTGTTCCTGGGGACGTGGGGTGTCTCTCTGGCACATGGGGGAGGCTTTATACTATCCAGCAGGGCCATTTTAGCTCAGTCTTACCCAGACCAGTGGAGGGGAAGCAACAAGGACTCTTATCAGCCTTTTGGAGGGGGGTGCGTCAGGGTGGGCACTTGTCCTCTGAAAGTTCTTCAAAAGGTTTTGAAAACCTCTAAACATTCTTAGTGTTTGCCACCATTATTATCATTTGCTGTCTGGCTTCTGATTATTAATTCCTTTGTAGACTGTTGTAGGAATCTGGCCCGGGGCAGGCCTGGTGTGGGATTGGGATGGGGAAGAAGGTCAGTAAAGCGCGAATTCTACATCACTGGTACGGAGGAGGGCGCTAGGTGGGGCCCACCACCTTCGGTGCGGCTGGCGTCGCCACTTTAAGGCGGTGGCGGCGCGAGCAGGTCTATGGTAATGAGGCGCCGCCGCCGCGGCCGCTCTGCAGAGCTCGCCCGCCCGCCGGGGAGGCGAGGGAGCGTGGGGCTGGGCCCGGGGCCGCGGCGATAGCAGCAGCGGCGGCGGGGACGCGGGGCACAAGCGGCCGGCGCGGGGCCGTCGGAGGCGCCCGGGGCCGGGCCGGGGTCCGGGTGCGCAGCTCAGTAGGAGCAGGTGGGCTATCCCGCGGGGGCGAGGGGCACTCAGAGGATCTCGGGGCGGCAGGGCCAAGGGCGCGCGGGCCCCGCGGGCGCCGCGGGCGCAGGTGGCGAGAGCCGGGTGTGCTAGTGGAAGCGCGGCGCCAGCCCGTGGTGGTCTGGGTGACCCGGGCGTGGGCCCGGGTTAGGGATCGGTGGGATCCCGGGCGCGTGGGAGCGGGCAACGCCGGGCTCCGGTGAGGCATCTAGGAGCAGGCCCCGCGGGGCGCAAAAGTAGCCCCCGGGGACTGGCGCCCTGGCCTGGGCATGAGGCGCGGCGGGGTCCGCAAGAGCGGGAGGAGGTGCCGCGGCCGCCGTTGACCCGGCCGGCCGGGAAGAGGGAGAGATGCGGAGCCCGGCGGCCCGCGCCCCACTTCCAACACCGCTGCCGCCGCTGCTGCTACTGCTGCTGCTGCCGCCACTACTGGGAGACCAAGTGGGGCCCTGTCGCTCCCTGGGGCCCGGCGGACGCGGCTCCTCGGGGGCCTGCGCTCCCGTGGGCTGGCTCTGTCCAGCTTCATCCTCGAACCTCTGGCTCTACACCAGCCGCTGCAGGGATGCGGGGACGGAACTGACTGGCCACCTGGTGCCTCACCATGATGGTCTGAGGGTCTGGTGTCCAGAATCCGGGGCGCACATCCCCCTGCCACCAGCGCCCGAAGGCTGCCCCTGGAGCTGTCGTCTTCTGGGCATAGGAGGCCACCTTTCCCCACAGGGCAAGCTCACCCTGCCCCATGAGCACCTGTGCTTAAAGGCCCCACGGCTGAGATGCCTGTCCTGTAAGCTGGTGCAGGCCCCAGGTTTCAGGGCAGGGGACAGCTTAGCCGAAGAGTCCATGGGTGGGCGTCGGAAGAGGAACGTGAATACGGCCCCCCAGTTTCAGCCCCCCAGCTACCAGGCCACAGTGCCAGAGAACCAACCCGCAGGTACTCCTGTGGCATCTCTGCGGGCCATCGATCCAGATGAGGGCGAGGCAGGTCGACTGGAGTACACTATGGATGCCCTCTTCGATAGCCGCTCCAACCACTTCTTCTCCCTGGACCCGATCACTGGCGCAGTCACCACAGCCGAGGAGCTGGATCGTGAGACCAAGAGCACGCACGTCTTCAGGGTCACGGCGCAGGACCACGGCATGCCCCGACGCAGTGCCCTGGCCACGCTCACCATCTTGGTGACCGACACCAATGACCACGACCCTGTGTTTGAGCAGCAGGAGTACAAGGAGAGCCTCAGGGAAAACCTGGAAGTCGGCTATGAAGTGCTTACAGTCAGAGCCACAGATGGTGACGCCCCTCCCAATGCCAATATTCTCTACCGCCTGCTGGAGGGGTCTGGGGGCAGCCCCTCTGAAGTCTTTGAGATTGACCCTCGCTCTGGGGTCATCCGAACCCGAGGCCCTGTGGATCGGGAAGAGGTGGAATCCTACCAACTGACGGTGGAAGCGAGTGACCAGGGTCGGGACCCCAGTCCACGGACTGCCACAGCTGCCGTTTTCCTGTCGGTGGAGGATGATAACGACAATGCCCCCCAGTTTAGTGAGAAGCGCTATGTGGTCCAGGTGCGGGAGGATGTGACCCCAGGAGCCCCGGTCCTCCGGGTCACAGCCTCGGATAGAGACAAGGGCAGCAATGCTCTGGTGCACTACAGCATCATGAGTGGCAACGCTCGGGGACAGTTTTACTTAGATGCCCAGACTGGGGCTCTGGACGTGGTGAGCCCTCTTGACTATGAGACAACCAAGGAATACACTCTACGGGTTAGGGCACAGGACGGTGGCCGCCCCCCTCTCTCCAACGTCTCCGGCTTGGTGACAGTGCAGGTCTTGGATATCAATGACAATGCTCCCATCTTCGTCAGCACCCCCTTCCAGGCTACTGTTCTGGAGAGTGTCCCCTTAGGCTACCTGGTCCTCCATGTCCAGGCCATTGATGCTGATGCGGGTGACAATGCCCGCCTGGAATACCGTCTTGCAGGGGTTGGACACGACTTTCCCTTCACCATCAACAATGGCACAGGCTGGATCTCTGTGGCAGCTGAGCTGGACCGGGAAGAAGTTGATTTCTACAGCTTTGGAGTAGAAGCCCGCGACCATGGTACCCCAGCACTCACTGCCTCCGCCAGTGTCAGCGTGACCATCCTGGATGTCAACGACAACAACCCAACCTTCACCCAACCAGAGTACACGGTTCGGCTCAATGAGGATGCAGCTGTGGGCACCAGCGTGGTGACAGTGTCAGCTGTGGACCGAGATGCCCACAGCGTTATCACTTACCAGATCACCAGCGGCAACACCCGAAACCGCTTCTCCATCACCAGTCAGAGCGGTGGCGGGCTGGTGTCCCTCGCCCTGCCGCTGGACTACAAACTTGAGCGGCAGTATGTGCTGGCTGTTACTGCCTCTGACGGCACGAGGCAGGACACGGCACAGGTGGTGGTGAACGTCACTGACGCCAACACCCACCGCCCTGTCTTTCAGAGCTCCCACTACACGGTGAATATTAACGAGGACCGGCCAGCAGGCACCACAGTGGTGCTCATCAGTGCCACAGATGAGGACACGGGTGAGAATGCCCGCATCACCTACTTCATGGAGGACAGCATCCCCCAGTTCCGCATCGATGCAGACACAGGGGCCGTCACCACCCAGGCTGAGCTGGACTATGAGGACCAGGTGTCCTACACCCTGGCCATCACTGCCCGGGACAATGGCATTCCCCAGAAGTCCGACACCACCTACCTAGAGATCCTGGTGAATGACGTGAATGACAATGCCCCTCAGTTTCTGCGGGACTCCTACCAGGGCAGTGTCTATGAGGACGTGCCCCCCTTCACCAGCGTCCTGCAGATCTCAGCCACTGATCGTGACTCTGGTCTTAACGGCAGGGTCTTCTACACCTTCCAAGGGGGCGATGATGGAGACGGGGACTTTATCGTAGAGTCCACATCAGGCATCGTGCGAACACTGCGGAGGCTGGATCGTGAGAATGTGGCCCAGTACGTCTTGCGGGCGTACGCGGTGGACAAGGGGATGCCTCCAGCCCGCACGCCCATGGACGTGACAGTCACAGTGTTGGATGTAAATGACAACCCACCTGTTTTTGAGCAGGATGAGTTTGATGTGTTTGTGGAAGAGAACAGCCCCATTGGGCTGGCGGTGGCCCGGGTCACAGCCACTGACCCTGATGAAGGCACCAATGCCCAGATCATGTACCAGATCGTGGAGGGCAACATCCCTGAGGTCTTCCAGCTGGACATCTTCTCCGGAGAGCTGACCGCTCTGGTGGACTTGGACTACGAGGACCGGCCTGAATATGTCCTGGTCGTCCAGGCCACGTCGGCTCCTCTGGTGAGCCGAGCCACAGTGCACGTCCGCCTACTTGACCGCAACGACAACCCACCAGCGCTGGGCAACTTCGAGATCCTTTTCAACAACTACGTCACCAACCGATCAAGCAGCTTCCCCGGGGGTGCCATTGGCCGAGTGCCTGCCCACGACCCTGACATCTCAGACAGCCTGACCTACAGCTTCGAGCGGGGGAATGAGCTCAGCCTGGTCCTCCTCAACGCATCCACGGGCGAGCTGAGGCTGAGTCGGGCGCTGGACAACAACCGACCTCTGGAGGCTGTCATGAGCGTGCTGGTGTCAGGTAAGGAAGGGCCCAGGAGACACTGCGGTGGGCTTGGCCCTTGGGGGAGGGCCTGGGCGGCCTTCTGAGGAGGAACTGCTGACCCATCTCTCTACCTGGGACTGGCCCAGCGGTTGAGGGGTGCACAGCAGCTGGGGACAGAGCCCGAGGAACCCTGGCAGCTGTGTGGGCCCTGCCTGTCGCCCCAGGCTGGGCCGGGCTGCTTCGGTCGGCTGCCCCTTGCCTACCAGCCTGTGACGTGGTGGGGGAAGCGTCGTGAGGCTGTCTTCTCCATGGCTGCTGAGAATTGTGGAAAAAGGCTCTCCGGTCCAAAGAGAGCTGGGGAGGGATGAAGGGGACTGTGGCCTGGAGCAGCAAGTCACCCCTTCACGCCCGCCTGCCGCCTGCCCGCTGGCACGTCCTTGTGATCTCACACAGCCTCTGACAGAGCCGAGGCTGTGGGGGCACAGGGTTGCCCCCACGGGGTCAGGACCCTGCGGTCGGGCCCCTTCTGGCTCCCGGCTGAGCCACAGACCAGCTGAGGGGGACTTTGTCTAGGACATTCTTTTCGCTCCAGGCAGAAAGAGCCTGGCCTGGCTACCCCCTTCAGAGCTCCCACAGGAAGTGAGGCCGGAGCTCATTGTCTCTGTCCAAACAGACCCCACTGTCAGAGGTGGTGGTTCGGGGTCCGGCTTGGGGGAGGGGCTGCAGCAGAGCCAGGGGCAGGCCACGGCCCTCCTGGGGCCCCTGTCTCCCCGCAGCTTGGCTGTTCTTAGACGCCAGGCCTTCCCACGGCCCGTGAGAGCCTGGGCTCAGGGTATGGGCTGTGGGGACCACGATGAGCCAGGGTGCTAGTGGCTTCTGAGAGCAGAGCCCCCGGATCCAGTGGCAAGAGAACAGAATCCTGGGGCGTGGGAGCCTGGCCGGGACCCAGGCCGGGCATTCCAGCTGCTTGGCCAAGCGCTCAGCCTGCAGACTCCTGGACAGAAGGGCTGGGGGAGGAGAGTTGGGGGGGTGGGTGACATTCTGTCTCTTCTGTTGGGAGCAGGGAGTGGACAACAGCGGCAGCAAGGAGGGCGCCGGCCCCAGATTGCCAAGCCCCTTCCCTGAGCCTGGGAACAGCTGGGACCCTTGTAAGGACTGTTAGCTGGGCCTGGGGATGGGTGGGTCAGGGTACCCTCACTCGGACACATCAGAGGGGAGAAAGAGCCGGCTGGCGAGCCTCACTTCCACCCCAAGGAGTCCAGGCCAGGAGAGGAGTGAGGCGTGCAAGACACAGGGCGTGGCTTCAGCCCCCTCCCCATTCATAGTCCTTTTGGGACAGATAACTCCCCTCCCCAATCCTCAGGTGGCCACTGGAGCCAGGGCAAGAGAGCTTTTAGAGGTCATGGACAGGCTCCATGCCTCTGGAAGCTTCAGTTCCTCTCTAGGGGTAGAAGGTGGGGGCTGGAGCTCTGCTATCTTGTGTCCTTCTCTGTGCTGGGAAGCAGTGGGAGGGCTGGAGGGGGAGGGCCTCTCCCTCCTGCCTCCCCCAGTCCACCCTAGGTGCCCAAGGGACGTGGGCAGAGGAGGCCCCACCCAGCCTTCGCACTCCTACCCATGCAGAGCCCCAGACTCCCTTAGAATAGAGGGGGAGGCCTCGGCTGGCCCTCCAGCCCAGCCCCACCCTTTCCCCTCGGCCCTGACCCTTGGAGGCAGTCACCACGGCAACCCCAAAGTTCGGGGAGGCTGGGGTGAGGGGGATCAACTCCTACTGCCCTTTGTTTTCCCTCTCTTGTTCTTTGTCTCTTTCTTTCCCGCGTCTGCCTTTGGGGGCCCTTCTGCACTGTCTCCTCCATGGTCCTCTCCCCATCTCCTGTGTGACTCTCTCCTCCTTTCCCACTTTCTCCACTGCTGGCTCTTTTCCTGGGTCTTTGTCTTCCCCTCTTTGGTCTCTGTGTTTTTGCCTCTCTGATTTCCCCCTCTCTTGTTCCCTGGGACTTCAGCTGGCCCAGCATGGGCCAGGTGGCTTTCCTGAGGCCCGAATTCTCCCAACTCTGCCTCTTCCGAACTCTGCTTGGACACACAGGAGTGCCCGTCCATGGCCTGCTCATTCCTCAGACCCCTCCAGGCCTACAACTCCCACTTGTGCATCTGCCAGGGGAAGGGAGGCTTGGCGTCCAATTCTGCCCCAGTCTGGGACTTGGCACTTTTCCAGGTGTGGCAGGCAAGGTTCTCATCACAGAGGGTGTTTCCTGGGGTCAGGGCCCATCCCCACCCTCTTCTGCCCAGGAGGATGGCTCAAGCTATGCACCCCTCACCCCGGTTCCCATCATTGCCTTTGCACCTGAAGGGTGACCCAGGTCAAGGCAGGAGAAAGGAACAAAGAGGAAGGAGGGAACGGCCCGTTGACTGCTGGGGTGGGGACGATAGCAGAGCGGGCAGGTGGCCACAGATGGTGGGCCAGATGGGAAGCAACAGACACACGGGGTGAGGGGCGCAGGCGGGGCTGGGGCCGGCAGAGGGGCAACACAGGGAGGAGTGTGCGTTCCCAGGGCTGATGGTAGAGAGGTTTCTCTTGCCTGCCCTGCCCCTGTCTGGTCAGTTATGAGGACTCTGTGTGGACTCTGGGCTCCTTCCTGCCCAGAGGGACTCTCACACCAAGGAATCACTGGGCACCTGGTACACGAGGGCCCTGGGCTGGCTCCACAACTGAGTGTAGGGGGCTGTGAAAGAGGGAGGAAAGTAGAGCCTGAGGTCATAAATCTGGGCAGGCTCCCTGGAAAAGGTGATTTTAGGGAGGGCTAGAAAAAACTAGGAGGAGTGTGGGCTGGTGTCTGGATAGTCCAGGTAGGAAGGAACAGCTTGTTCAGCAGCAGTCAAGAAAAGGAGGAGCAGAGGTGAGTGATGACAACAGGCTTGCTGGTGAGAGCAGGCGGGCCTCACATTCTCAAGCAGTGAGGCTGGAGGGCAGGTGGGCAGGGGGCCGAGGACACGGCTGAGATGGGTGTCTGGCTTCAGCCTTCCTAGCCGCCAGCGCATTCAGCCACCTCAAGGTGCTATGACATAGAAGCAGAAGAATCTATTCCCAGATCCCTTTCCTACACCCGTGAGTGTGCGCGTGCGTGCTTAGTTGCTAATCGTGTCCAAATCTTTGCAATCCTATGGATTGTAGCCTGCCAGGCTCCTCTGTCCATGGGATCCTCCAGGCAAGAATACTGGAGTGGGTTGGCATGCTCTTCTCCACAGGATCTTCCCAACCCAGGGATCAAACACACATTTTGTGCATTACAGGTGGATTCTTTACCAACTGAGCCACTTTGGAAGTCCTGTGCTAGCTCTGTCCTACCTGAGAAACAGACTCCCACCCCATTCCTGCTAGGATGTCCTTTTAAATAACTACTTGGGCCTCCCTGCTGTGTTTTAAAGACCATTTCTTCATTATGGAGATCAAATAGATTCTCATGAACATATGACTGAACACTTACTATGCGTAGAACATTGTAGTAAACAATAAGAATATCACTTATAGCCCAACCAAGCCATTTCCCTCGCCACTTGGCCTCCAGCTTTCCTTTTGAGCTGAATAAAATCCATTGCCATGTATTTGTGCATTCAGGTGTGCCCGGTATTTCTGGGCTTAGTGTGTGTGGGTGGGGTGAGACACCAGAGTGTTAGTACTTCGCTGTTTATAAGTGAGTGTGTGGCCCGGGGGTGTGGCAGGCACTGAGTTTAATGCCATGAGCCAAGTGGGTGATGAGTAGCTGGAGGTCTAGGCCCGAAGGAGAGGTCAGCTCAGTGGGGCTCTGTCTGGGGCTCAGGGTGGAGAGCTGCCCAGGCCCTTCCATCTCTGGCCCCCAGAACCCACAACATCAGGGCAGTGGGTGGTGCTGCCACTGGTAAGGTGGCTCAGCTGGATTTCCTGGGGTAGGGCCCTCCAGGCTACCCTCAGCAACTCAGAGAGTTGGGCGGGAAGAATGCTTTGTGTGGGGCGTTGCCATGGGGATAGCGGGCCTGCGCCCAAGCAGCCACGGGGCTTAGTGGGAGGGGGACTGGGTGGCCCACTGACCCAGTTCACCCTCCATTCTCTACTGCAGTTGGGGAGGGGGAACACAGCCAGGGTCAGGGTTGTAGTAGTGTTGAGATATAGAGGCTGAGGGGGCAGGAGGATTATATTTGTGGGTCTCTCATGGTCTCTGGGCCCTCTAGGGAGGTAAGAAAAAGGCAAAATAAGATTCTCATGCAGGGAAGCACCTGGTCTGGAGCAGACCCGTCTGTGGCTTGGGACAGGGAAAGATGCACAAACATTGAAAGACGTGTCCATGCTTCCCAACGGGCTTCCCTGGTGGCTCAGAACATCAAGAATCCACCTGCAATGCAGTAGACCTGGGTTTGATCCTGGGTGGGAAAGATCCCCTGGAGAAGAGAATGGCAACCCACTCCAGTATTCTTGCCTAGGAAAATCCCAGGGACAGGGAAGCCTGGTGGGCTACAGTCTGTGGGGTTGCAAAGAGTTGACAGGACCCAGCAATTAACACACACACATGCTTTGCAACAGAGGGTTTCTGGAAAGTATGCAAAGAGAACTTGTGGAAATCAATCCCCCCTGAGTGCTGCTGGGGGCTGAGCCCTCCTGGGGTGACTCTCCCTCAGGTGAGGGACACATTGTCCTAAGGGCTCCTGTATGCCAGTTAGAAAAGAAGAGCCTTTCTTGGCAACTGGGCAGTTCGGGAGTGTGCGAGCAGGGTTCCAGCCCAGTCATGCCCTCCTCCGTGACTTGGGACCCCTGCCCGCCCTGGGTGCTGACCGTCTGGCCTCCCCACAGACGGCGTGCACAGCGTGACGGCCCAGTGCTCCCTGCGCGTCACCATCATCACGGACGAGATGCTCACGCACAGCATCACGCTGCGCCTGGAAGACATGTCGCCCGAGCGCTTCCTGTCGCCCCTCCTGGGTCTCTTCATCCAGGCTGTGGCCGCCACGCTGGCCACACCCCCAGACCACGTGGTGATCTTCAACGTGCAGCGGGACACCGATGCCCCCGGCAGCCACATCCTCAACGTGAGCCTGTCGGTGGGCCAGCCGCCGGGGCCTGGGGGCGGGCCACCCTTCTTGCCCTCCGAGGACCTGCAGGAGCGCCTGTATCTCAACCGCAGCCTGCTCACGGCCATCTCGGCACAGCGCGTGCTGCCCTTCGACGACAACATCTGCCTGCGTGAGCCCTGCGAGAACTACATGCGCTGCGTCTCCGTGCTGCGCTTTGACTCCTCCGCGCCCTTCATCGCCTCCTCCTCCGTGCTCTTCCGGCCCATCCACCCGGTGGGGGGACTGCGCTGCCGCTGCCCGCCTGGCTTCACCGGGGACTACTGCGAGACCGAGGTGGACCTCTGCTACTCACGGCCCTGCGGCCCCCACGGACGCTGCCGCAGCCGCGAGGGCGGCTACACCTGCCTTTGCCGTGAGGGCTACACCGGTGAGCCCTCGCGGAGGGAGGGGAAGGCCTCGGGGCGGCCCTGGGGGAGTTCAGGCTGCAGCGCCAGCACAATCAAGCTAAGAACCGGGTAACCTCCTTCTTCTCCAGAGGGCATGTACAGGGTACACTGGGCATTCACAAGTCCCACTTGCTCTCACAATCACCTGTTGAGGAAGGAAGAGGGGAGCCTTGTTTCTCTGTCTCCAACCCGCCCCCACCCCCAGATGGTGTAACTGAGGTCCGCGCTGGCACTGCGGCCAGCCTGCTTGCATTTGTATCCCAGGTTTGACAAGAGCGGCTGGGTGACCTTGGGCGAGTTACTTAACCTCTCTGTGCGGTAGAATTTTTAAATGGGTGATGAATCTACTCCCATGACAAGGAGGTTGTGAGGATTAATTGAATTTAATACGGGTAAGAGAACTGGCCTGTGGGAAGTGCTGGCTGTGATTTAAGGAAATACTGAGTGAGATCAGGTGACTTGCCTCAGGTCTCACCTGGATTAGAGGTGAGGCTGGGCCTAGTACATGCATTCTCCCAACTGATGAGTGAGTTACCTTTCAGAGCCGTAGCAGGGCCTTTTCTCCCTAGGTATTGAGGCACATTAGAGCTGGGGAAACTGGTGGGGTTCAGGTGTGGGGATAGGGATTTTCAGATCATTGCACCTGTGTGACATGGAGCTCCACCCTTGCCCAGGCATGTTAAGCAGGGCCTGACCAAGAGGCCTGTTGGCCTGTTTCCAGGGTTCTTTACACATCCTGTCCCCAGACTCTCCCTGGGGTCTCACTGCCTCTGCTTCGTGCTCCGGACCCCTCCCTGCAGGCTCCTGCTTTCCCTCAGGACATCCCCTGCTCTCCATGCCTTTCCTTCCCAGGGGCCTTAGGCCTTGCTCCCTCTCCCCCAGAGCCATGCCCACCCGCTTCGCCAGCCGCGGTAGGCCAGCCTCGCTGCCTCCCCTGCTGCATCTTCCTGCCCAGAACTTGCCAGACTTGACTCCTCTCAGCTGCTGCTGTGGGTAGGGGGAAGCAGAGGGGTGGGCTTGGGGGAGGGGAGGGAAGTCTTTGTCCAAGAGGATGGGGTAGGGGGTGCTTAGAGTAGGCGAACAACAGTTTCCATGGAAACTAGAGCTAGTCACTAGGCACTGGAGCTGAAAACCTATCTCTAGAATCTGGGAATGGGGAGGGAGAGAAAAGGGTGGATTTTTCCATCTGATGTTGGAATTTTCAGCTCCTCCGTTGAATCCTGGTCTGCTCCCAGGGCTCAGTTCCCTACTATCGCAGCAACTCTTAAAGTTCACAGAGGTCCTCAGTCTGAACACCAGGGCTCAGGGTGGGAGTTCCTTGCCCCGTTTCTGGAGAGTTCCCAGCTTCCCGCCCACACCATCCCATAACTCCGACAAATCCAAGTGGAAGCCTGGTCTCGTCCCCAGGGAGGGAAGCTGATCTTGGTGCCTGTGAGGGACAAAAGCACCAGTGTGGGGTGGGGGTTGGCACCAGCCCTTGTACTGTCTTGCAGGCCCTCTCATCGACAGGCATGCCCCCTGATGGGGCTAGAACACCCCCATGCTTGCTGGGTAGCCCTTACACCAAAAGCCACTAGGACTTGGACCTTGTGATCAGGGACCTCACAGGCCTGTGCTCTTAAGTCCCAGACAGGGGCATGAGACGGACTGGGAGCCTCTGGAACTTGCAGGACAGTGGTATATGGGACTGTGGTGAGGCTGGCCCAGGGCTCCAAGCAGGGCATCAGAGGAGCCAGGGTTTCACAGAGCTCAGACGGATGAGCACATGAGAGGAGAGGGGATGCTGGGGGGATTCGGAGTATCATAGGAGTCACAGGAGACCACAGAGGGATCACTGGGCGCGAAGGAGTCCCAGTTTCCCAGGCACCCAGTGCTCACCTGCCTGACTTCTTGTCCAGGTGAGCACTGCGAAGTGAGTGCCCGCTCAGGCCGCTGCACCCCAGGCGTCTGCAAGAACGGGGGCACCTGTGTCAACCTGCTGGTGGGCGGCTTCAAGTGCGACTGCCCATCCGGAGACTTCGAGAAGCCCTTCTGCCAGGTGACCACGCGCAGCTTCCCTGCCCGCTCCTTCATCACCTTCCGGGGCCTGCGCCAGCGCTTCCACTTCACCCTGGCCCTCTCGTGAGTGCCTGGGCACTTGGAATAGGGGCCAGGAACAGCCTGGGGGGCCTCCTGTTTTGTGGACAAGGTGGGAAGTCAGACAGTGATGCTGTGTGGCAGAGGGGTGGGGGGGGAGTTGTTGGCAGAGCCAGGCTTGTACTTGGAGTTGCCCTGCACCCTTGGCTGGCAGGCCCCTCACCCACCAGGGCCACCTACACTCCCCTCAACCCACCCTCAAGGGTGGGAGCCAGGATGCCACGGTCATGCCACCAGTCCTGGTTTGTGCTCACCCTCCACGCTCTAGCCATGTGGCCCACAGCCTCCGCCCAGGAGTCCGCCCTCGGGAGATTTCTGAGTAGGACCAGGGCTGGTTAGGTGGATGGGGTGCCGGCATCCAGGTGGGCGCCCCATTCCCTGCCCCCTCCCCCACTCCCACTCAGGTTTGCCACCAAGGAGCGTGACGGGCTGCTGCTCTACAACGGGCGCTTCAACGAGAAGCATGACTTCGTGGCCCTCGAGGTGATCCAGGAGCAGGTCCAGCTCACCTTCTCTGCAGGTGACCCCGCGGCCCCACGTCCTCCCCATCTCCCCGAGCCCCTGTGTCTCTCCGCCCTTGCCCCCGAGTCACGCTCTCCCAGCCAGACCCGGGCACAGCTCAGCCGAGAGCGCCCTGTCCCCATTCCCAGCCCTCCCCCGGCGTCCCAGCTCACCTGGGTCCTTTCCCCAGGGGAGTCGACCACCACCGTGTCCCCGTTCGTGCCTGGAGGGGTCAGTGACGGCCAGTGGCACAGGGTGCAGCTGAAGTATTACAATAAGGTGGGTATGGGGGGCTCCCTCGGGGAGAGCACTCTGGCCTGGGCGCAGATGCCCTCCCAGACCTGGGGGCGCTGCCTTGCTGGGGGCTGGTCGTGGGACGTGGGGCTGAACGGGGAGGAAGGAGGGGTGGAACCTGCTGCCTCGCTGGGCATTCCCATCCTGCTGGGTGGTGCAGACACTTCCTATTCCGCTGGGTACAGACACAAGTGGACGTTGAGGAAGGTAAATGGTCATGTGAGCACACATCTGTGTGCGTGTGTCCATGTGTTTACCACGCGTGTAGGCGTGTGTAACAGTACACAAAGGGCGTGTGTGTGTGCTGGTGTTTTCCTGCCTGCTGGCCCGTGAGTGGCCCTGGCCCACTCTTTCCCCTCTCTGCCCGTCCCTGTCCACAGCCACTCTTGGGTCAGACGGGGCTCCCGCAGGGCCCATCCGAGCAGAAGGTGGCTGTGGTGACCGTGGATGGCTGTGACACAGGGGTAGCCCTGCGCTTTGGAGCTATGCTGGGCAACTACTCCTGCGCCGCCCAGGGCACTCAGGGTGGCAGCAAAAAGTAAGGAGGGGAGAGGGCTGGGGGTGCAGTGAGGTGTGGGGCCACAGAGGGAGGGAGGGTTGTAAGGGGGACTTTGGGGGCCCTGAAACGGGAACCAATTCCTTTCTCTCACCTGGCTTCCCTTTGCCCCTGCTCAGCCCTCTGCGCGGGGGGGCTGGGTGGGGGGCAGAGCCGGCAAGGCTGGGGGATTCGAGCTAGCCTTGGGCAACAGTCTGATGAGAGCAGCTCCAGGGTGGGGCTCCCCTTCCCCTGGCTGCTCGGCAGGGCCCCTAGGACCCCTCGCCTGGCGGCCAGGCTCAAGGAGAAGGAAGAGCTGGAAGCACCCACTCGCCCTTATGTCTTGGCCGTCTCCCTGCCCCTCACCACCCCCGCCAGGTCTCTGGACCTGACAGGGCCCCTGCTGCTGGGCGGGGTGCCTGATCTGCCCGAGAGCTTCCCCGTCCGCACCCGGCACTTCGTGGGCTGCATGAGGGACCTGCAGGTGGACAGCCGCCACGTTGACATGGCCGACTTCATCGCCAACAATGGCACCATGCCTGGTATGGGAGCCGGGGTCAGGCTGAATGCAGAGAGGAGGGATGTGCCTGGCGTGGGGGCCCCTGGAAATGGTGGCTCAGAGCCCCCTCTAGCCACCGCGACAGGTTTTCTGTTGGGAGCCTCTGCCCGAGCACCCATCTCTCCATTCTAGGGTGCCCTGCCAAGAAGAACGTGTGTGACAGCAACACGTGCCACAACGGGGGCACCTGTGTGAACCAGTGGGATGCGTTCAGCTGCGAGTGCCCGCTGGGCTTCGGGGGCAAGAGCTGTGCCCAGGGTAGGTATGGGGGCAGCTGTCAGAGGTTGGGGCCTGGGAGATGTCAGCAGGGCTGGGAACCCCAGCAGGGTCGGGCCGGGCCCTGGGCAGGGCCCAGCTGAGCTTGGCTGTGGGTGGAAAAGCGTGTCTGGGCAGCGCCCTGAGAGGGTTAGCACGGGAGACAAAGGGCCCAGTCAGAGGCAGGCCTGGGCACAGAGTGGGGTGGACCCGGAGCAGGTAGATGCTCTGGAGGGCGGGGCAGCTGGGGAGCCTGGGCACTAGGAGGGGCAGTACCCTGCCTCCCACGGAGCTACCCCCGCTGAACATCATACCCCCTGGGGCACTTGGCCACTCCGCCCCTCAGAGTCTGCTTCTGTCTGCCTTCCCAGAGATGGCCAACCCGCAGCGCTTCCTGGGCAGCAGCCTGCTGGCCTGGCATGGGCTTTCACTGCCCATCTCGCAGCCCTGGCACCTCAGCCTCATGTTCCGCACACGCCAGGCCGACGGCGTCCTGCTCCAGGCTGTCACCAGGGGGCGCAGCACCATCACTCTGCAGGTGATGGAGGGAGGGATGGGGCAGGCAGGCGGGCCCTGGCACGGGTTATTGGTCAGAGCTGGCTGGGCGGGGTCTTTCCCGGGAGAGAAAAGGCAGCTCGGTTCCTTTGGTGGATCACTGCTGCCATCTCTCGGGCCCACAGGAAATAATGCTTTTTCCTCCCTGGCCTCAGCTGGGCAGCAGCATGGGTTTGGTGGCTCGGGAAGGACAGTGGGCTGGAAGATGAGCTGATCGAGGCAGACTGCTGACCCTCTTTTCTTCTGGTGCCAGCTTCGGGAGGGCCACGTGGTGCTGAGCGTGGAGGGCACAGGGCTCCAGGCCTCGTCTCTCCAGTTGGAGCCAGGCCGGGCCAATGATGGCGACTGGCATCATGCACAGCTGGCACTGGGAGCCAGTGGAGGCCCTGGCCATGCCATCCTGTCCTTCGACTATGGGCAGCAGCGGGCAGAGGGCAACCTGGGCCCCCGGCTGCATGGGCTACACCTGAGCAACATTACCGTCGGGGGTGTTCCAGGGCCGGCCAGTGGTGTGGCCCGAGGCTTCCGGGGCTGTTTGCAGGTAAGCCTCCTGCACTGCCTTCTCACCTCCAACACTGGGAAACCGATTCCACAAAGGGCCAGCAACCACTACCCTCTCCCTCCCAGGGTGTCCGGGTCAGCGAGACGCCGGAGGGCGTCAGCAGTCTGGATCCCAGCCGTGGGGAGAGCATCAATGTGGAGCCAGGCTGCAGCCTGCCAGACCCCTGTGACTCGAACCCATGTCCTGCCAACAGCTACTGCAGTGACGACTGGGACAGCTATTCCTGCAGCTGTGATCCGGGTAGGCCAGGGGTCCAGGGAAATGGGACAGGTCAGCAGGCGTGGGGCAGGGGCGGGGGCTCACTCTGGCTTTGCCATGTGACCTGGGGCTAGTCACCTCACCCCTCTGAGCCTCTCATCCTGCACTGCAGAGCCACAGCCAGCTGGTATAGCTGCCCAGAATAGAAGGAGGTGAATGAAGGCAGGTTTGAAGAAAATGCCAGGGTAAGGTGGGGACTGAGCCTCTCTTGTCCTTCTGGTTGGTCCCAGGTTACTATGGTGACAACTGCACTAACGTGTGTGACCTGAACCCATGCGAGCATCAGTCCATGTGTACCCGAAAGCCCAGTGCTCCCCATGGCTATACCTGCGAGTGTCCCCCCAGCTACCTTGGGCCATACTGTGAGACCAGGTAATGTTGATCCCTGCAGGCAGCAGCAGGCCACTGCCGATGTCCACTGTGTCCCTCAGAGCCCTGGGAGCCTGGCTGGGCCGTGGCTGGGGTCAGAAGGGCCACACATGGCTCCAGGGTGGCTGAAGGAACTCATTCCTCCCTGGTCCCTTCTCCGCAGGATTGACCAGCCTTGTCCCCGAGGCTGGTGGGGACACCCCACATGCGGCCCGTGCAACTGCGATGTCAGCAAAGGCTTCGATCCAGACTGCAACAAGACAAGCGGAGAGTGCCACTGCAAGGTGACTGCCCCGACCCAGGCCTCCACAGCGGCTGCTTCGGCTACCCTTGGGGGGTAGGCGGTGGAAGAAGCCTCCCCACAGAGCACTGAGGGCTACGTGCCTTTGATCCACTGGGGCGGGCCAGTGGTTATTTGTCCTTGTGTGTCTTGGGGTGGGGAGGGGGCCAGGACCTATACTTAATCAGTGAGCTCTGGGCCAGCTGTACGGGTTGTTTGCAGCCCATTCTAATTGATTGGTGTCTCACTGGTGGGTTAAACTCCGAATCACGACCAGTTAATAAATACTTGGAGAGTACCTTTCTTGGGGGTCAGGGAGCCTCTCTCCAGCGGGGCCACAGTGAGAGGATTCGTGAGCACCCAGGGAAGAGAGCCTGGGCCAGCGACCCCGTGTCCCTTCTCCCTCTCAGGAGAACCACTACCGGCCCCCTGGCAGCCCCGCCTGCCTCCTGTGCGACTGCTACCCCACGGGCTCTCTGTCCCGAGTCTGTGACCCTGAGGAGGGCCAGTGTCCATGCAAGCCAGGCGTCATTGGCCGCCAGTGTGATCGCTGTGACAACCCCTTTGCCGAGGTCACCACCAACGGCTGTGAAGGTAGGGCTTTCGAGATGGGTGGGGGGCCCTCCCTGCTGTATGCCAGGCTCCAGTGTCCCGGGGGGGGCCAGGAGCCGGGATGGGCTGCAGACCTGAAGCTGCCGTGGGAGGGCTGGGGAACCCGGGCTTCACTGTAGGGGGACGGCTGCTCTTGAGTGATGGTGCACTTCCTTGCAGTGAACTACGACAGCTGCCCGAGGGCCATCGAGGCTGGGATCTGGTGGCCCCGCACCCGCTTTGGGCTGCCTGCTGCTGCCCCCTGTCCCAAAGGCTCCTTCGGTAGGTGCTGGAGGCCTGGAACATGAAACAGAGGACTTGGCCTTTATTAGTAGAGTGAGGGTGGGGAGCCCCTGGCTGCAGATCCTGCGACCCCAACTTCTGGCCTCCAGGTCTGGGGGACTCCATGTCCCATGCTTCCTTGGCTCACTGCTCCCCTGCTCCCAAGTTTGCCTAGATGAAAGGTGTCTACAGTTTGGACTCATAACAAAAGTGCTGAAAACCTGCAGGGTGCCTGGCACAAGGCTGGGTACTAGAGGTTCAAAGATGAGTCACACAGGTTGCTATCCTCAGCTCACCACCTCGTACTGGAGTTATGCCACTAGAGAGATGGCCTGGGGAGCAGGGGACATGGGATGCTGTCCCAGGGGAGCTGCAGGATGCAGGCTGGCGCTGGCCCTTGCATTGACCATGAGCAGAGATCAGGAACAGAGAGTGTGTGGCAGAAAGTTCAAGGTGGGGGCCGGAGAAGGGCAGCCGAGTCCGGGGGCTCAGGGAGGCCACAGGCCCCGCACTCCTGTAGCCCTCCTGTGGGTTGATCTCACAGAGGTTTTGGCTCTGGTGTTCCACACATGCTGGGGTACCGGACAGCAGGGCCCTTGTCTGTTAGTCTCCTGTCTCTGGTCCATGGGGGTTGGCCCCCCACAGAACTCAGCAAGGTCTCTCCCTGAGGCCTGCCCTCCTGGCTGCCTTCCCCCAGGGACTGCTGTGCGCCACTGTGACGAGCACAGAGGGTGGCTTCCCCCAAACCTCTTCAACTGCACGTCGGTCACCTTCTCAGAGCTGAAGGGATTTGTAAGTGAACCTTCTCTTCTCCATCTCCTTGCCCTTCACCCTGTCTTCACCCAGGATGACTTGCCGCCTCCCCAGTTTTGAGAAAGGGGACTCCAACAACTCCAGCTCCTGCCCCCGGGGGCCCCTGCCCAGAGCTGTCTCTCCCCTTCCCTAGTCCTTGTGCTCTGGAGTTCCAGTTCCGCCCTCGGGGAACCTCGCTGTCCCCTCTGTGCTGACCGCCCTGCCTGTCTTGGTTCCAGGCTGAGCGGCTACAGAGAAACGAGTCAGGCCTGGACTCAGGGCGCTCCCAGCGGCTGGCCCTACTCCTGCGCAACGCTACCCAACACACGGCTGGCTACTTTGGCAGCGACGTCAAGGTGGCCTACCAGCTGGCCACGCGGCTGCTGGCCCACGAGAGCGCCCAGCGAGGCTTTGGGCTGTCCGCCACACAGGACGTGCACTTCACCGAGGTGGGGCTCACAGTGGGCAGGGAAGGCGGGTGGGAGGAGGTCATGGTGAGTGAGCTGGCTCCTGGTAACCTCGGGGCAGAGTGGGGGGCACTCCCCTCCCTGCTTTTAGGGAGCTCCTGGCCAGCATGAGGCCTCCATGAGACCCCCTGAACCGTGGCCCAGCACATGGGTCATTTATAGCACCTCTTCCCGACCCTTCTCAAAGCAGGGTACCCATAGAGAATAATGTTTGTACGAGGACCCGGTCTGACCAGGCTCGCCAGAGGAGGGGCCCTGCCCACTAGGCCAGGACAGGGAGGGACCCGCATCACATAATCGTGTGGGCACAAGCATAGGCCCTGGGAAGTTGTTAGAGACAGAGGAGGAAGGATTAGTGGGCGGGGCATGGTGGGGGGTGAGCCAGGGCTGGTCGAGGACAGGCATGGTGGGGACAAGGAGTGGGCTGTGGGCACAGCCTGCTGTGACCGTGCCCACCCTAGAATCTGCTGCGCGTGGGCAGCGCCCTACTGGATGCGGCCAACAAGCGGCACTGGGAGCTGATCCAGCAGACGGAGGGCGGCACCGCCTGGCTGCTGCAGCACTATGAGGCCTATGCCAGCGCCCTGGCCCAGAACATGCGGCACACCTACCTGAGCCCCTTCACCATCGTCACGCCCAACATCGGTGAGGCTGCCCGCCGGGCCGGAGAAGGTGTGTACAGGGCCGTGCCGGGGGCCTGCCCCCCTCACCTAGAGTCTGACCTCTGCCCTCTCCCTAGTCATCTCTGTCGTTCGCTTGGACAAGGGGAACTTCGCTGGGGCCAAGCTGCCCCGCTATGAGGCGCTGCGGGGGGAGCGGCCCCCAGACCTGGAGACTACGGTCATTCTGCCTGAGTCTGTCTTCAGAGGTCAGTGGGGGCCGAGGGGTGGGTCGGGGGGCCAGGCTGGGGTGTCTGTGAAGGACCCAGCTGAGGAGACAGTGTACCCGATCCCAGAATCGCCCCCTGTGGTCAGACCCGCGGGCCCCGGAGAGCCCCAGGAGCCGGAGGAGCTGGCTCGGCGGCAGCGGCGGCACCCGGAGCTGAGCCAGGGTGAGGCGGTGGCCAGTGTCATCATCTACCGCACCCTGGCCGGGCTGCTGCCCCATAACTACGACCCAGACAAGCGCAGCCTGAGGTGAGCAGCCAGGGAGACAAGGGTGGGCGGGGGTGCCGGTCAGTGGGTGAGCCACAGAGGGGGCCAGGGGTCGGCAGCATCTCAGAGTGATGAGAAGGGTCCTCCAGTCACGCAGGGCTTCCCAGGTGGTACTAGTGGTAAAGAACCCACCTGCTAATGCAGGAGACGTGAGAGATGTGGGTTCGATCCCTGGGTTGAGAAGATCCTCTGGAGGAGGGCATGGCAACCCACTCCGGTAGTCTTGCCTGGAGAATCCCCTGGACAGAGGAGCCTGGCGGGCTACAGTCCATAGGGTCGTACAGAGTCAGGCACGACTAAAGTGACTTAGTATGTGTGCATGCCACTCACGCAAATACCGTGGTGACTGTGTGCCTGCCTGCCCAGAGTTCCCAAACGCCCCGTCATCAACACACCGGTGGTGAGCATCAGCGTCCATGACGATGAGGAGCTCCTGCCCCGTGCTTTGGACAAGCCAGTCACGGTGCAGTTCCGGCTGCTGGAGACCGAGGAGCGCACCAAACCCATCTGTGTCTTCTGGAACCACTCGATCCTGTGAGCCTGCACTGCCCTGTGCCCCAGGGCTGTGGGCCGAGCCCCCAGGCCCCAGTGCACCCCACCCTCCTGTCTCCTGACCCTGCCTCCCTCACACAGGGTCAGTGGCACTGGCGGCTGGTCAGCCCGAGGCTGCGAAGTCGTCTTCCGCAACGAGAGCCACGTCAGCTGCCAGTGCAACCACATGACGAGCTTCGCCGTGCTCATGGACGTGTCTCGGCGTGAGGTTGGGCCCGCAGGGGTGGGGGTGGACAGCCGCAGGGCTGGGGGTGGGAGCCCAGGGCTCTGGACTGGGTGCTCAGACCCTCCCCTTTCTAATCCCCCTGGCTCTCTGCCACCCACCCCTGCAGAATGGGGAGATCCTGCCACTGAAGACGCTGACATACGTGGCCCTCGGGGTCACCCTGGCCGCCCTCCTGCTCACTTTCCTCTTCCTTGCTGTCCTGCGCGCCCTGCGCTCCAACCAGCACGGCATCCGACGGAACTTGACGGCTGCCCTTGGCCTGGCTCAGCTGGTCTTCCTCCTGGGAATCAACCAGGCTGACCTCCCTGTAAGATGTTCCTCCTCAACAGAAACCTTCCCCAGGGTCCCCCACTCTCATGATCCCATGTCAGTCTTCCCCAGCGTTCCCCTCAATCCCTGCTTCTTCAGCCATGAGGGGTAAAGAGCCAGCCTGGGGCCTAGCACGTGGCTTCCGCCGCTCCAGCTCCCCCTGGTTCCCCAGCACACCCTAGAGGTACCTTCCTATGGCCCAGACTCCCCCGGAAGCAGCGTCCAGCACCCAGGCTCTCCTCTCCAGTCTGGTGAGAGCAGAGCCCACATCCTGGGTGTGGCCTGGGCACTGACCGGGCGCGGCCTGGGCCCTCAGTTTGCCTGCACAGTCATTGCCATCCTGCTGCACTTCCTGTATCTCTGCACCTTCTCCTGGGCCCTGCTGGAGGCCTTGCACCTGTACCGGGCGCTCACCGAGGTGCGCGACGTCAATGCCGGCCCCATGCGATTCTACTACATGCTGGGCTGGGGCGTGCCCGCCTTCATCACAGGTACCCCCCGCCCCCAGCCCAGGTTTTGAGGGTCTGCATCCCTAGGGCCTCGGCGCACCTTTATGCCACCTTCTCCCACGTACATCCCAGACCCGGAGGCCACACATCCCTATGCCCCGGGCCGAGTTCTCCACAAGCGTCCCTCTGGTTTAACTCGGTGCTTGGGAGCCCCACCCAGGGAGAGGGTCCCCTAGGCCAGAAAGGATGGCATGGACAGAGGGTGGACAGAACCCTTCCTCCCCTGCACCTGGCCCTTGGAGCCCACTTGACCGCTTGACTGATTCCCAAGTCCCTTGACCACCCTTCCCGGCTGCTGTCACCGCACTCCCAGGTCTAGCCGTGGGCCTGGACCCGGAGGGCTATGGGAACCCCGACTTCTGCTGGCTGTCCATCTACGACACACTCATATGGAGTTTCACCGGCCCCGTGGCCTTTGCGGTCTCAGTAAGTGCTAGAGAGTGCCTGGGGGTAGGGTGGAGCAGGCTAAGTGTGACCTCCGGCTCCCCTTTAGGAATGGTGGAGGCCTCCGGGGGGTGGGATGGAAGCCGTCTTGTGTCCCGACAATCCCCCCCACACCCCCTCCTCCCCTGACAGATGAGTGTCTTCCTGTACATCCTGGCGGCCCGGGCCTCCTGTGCTGCCCAGCGGCAGGGCTTTGAGAAGAAGGGCCCTGTGTGAGTATGGGGTGGGCGTACCTAGGCGGTGGATGGGCACCAGCATGGGAGGCCTCGCAGCCAGACTCACAGCCCACCTGTTCCCAGCTCGGGCCTGCGGCCCTCCTTCGCTGTCCTGCTGCTGCTGAGTGCCACGTGGCTGCTGGCACTGCTGTCCGTCAACAGTGACACCCTCCTCTTCCACTACCTCTTCGCTGCTTCCAATTGTGTCCAGGTACCGGCCCGGCCCATGCCCTGGGGGAGGCCACTGGAGTTGAGTGTGGGGGAAGCTTGACTAGGAGGTGCCTTAGTCAGCACTTAGAGTTGCTGCCTCTTGCCTGTCAGGGCCCCTTCATCTTCCTCTCCTACGTGGTGCTTAGCAAGGAGGTCCGGAAAGCACTCAAGTTCGCCTGCAGCCGCAAGCCCAGCCCTGACCCTGCGCTGACCACCAAGTCTACCCTGACATCGGTGAGGGAGCCCAGGAGGTGGAGGGGTCGTGCGGAGTATGAGGCAGGGGAGAGGCAGGAGGCCCAAGGAGCCCCTTCTCTGTGCTTTTTGTCCCACTTTTTCTCCATCCTTACATCCTTTCCTGAAAGGAGGAAGGGTGGTGAGATGGTATGTGTGTGTGGCCGGGGGGGGGGGGGGGGGGGAAGAAGGGGCACGGTTGGGGGTGCGGGAGGGGGATGCTGAATTGAGAGGGATGGGAGTGGAGCATAGGAGAAAGTGGCCAAGACAGGTGATCAGTCATAAATGCCCCACCCCTGAGAGCCCTTGTGTGTCTTGGTAAATCTGTGTCTCCCAGGATGCTCTCAGGAGAGCAATCTTTTCCTAACGAGCCCTTAGACAGCCAAGTCCAGGGTATTTGGGGTTCATAGAACTGGCATAGCTACAGCAGAGCTACAACCACTACTAGGCCCTGAAATAGGGGCAGCAGAGACATAGTGCCTCTCTCTTCATCCTTGGTACATGGTGGGTAGAATTTAGGGCAAGCTCCCTCAGCCCTTCCATTTCCCAGCCTGGGGCCACCCCGTCCCACTCCCCAGCATACTGACCTATCTGTTCCCCACTTAGTCCTACAACTGCCCCAGCCCCTATGGGGACGGAAGGCTGTACCAGCCCTACGGAGACTCAGCCGGCTCCCTGCACAGTGCCAGCCGCTCGGGCAAGAGTCAGCCTAGCTACATCCCCTTCCTGCTGAGGTGAGGTCTGGTGGGGCAGAGGGCTGGGGCGAGAGGAAGGGCACCAGGCCTGCTAGACCCAGGCCAGGCGGCTAGGAGTTGGGTAGCACGCACCGCGGTTGACATGGTGGCAGCTTGAACCCAGAAGTGCTGAGGGACATGGGACAGGAACGGGAAAACCCAGGACAGACAACAGAATGGGACACAGGGTGAGGAGCCAGGCTGATGCCTCCAGTGTGTCTTGTCTTCTTAGGGAGGAGTCCACACTGAACCCTGGCCAAGGGCCCCCTGGCCTGGGGGACCCCAGTGGCCTGTTCCTGGAAGGTCAAAACCAGCAGCATGGTGAGGATGGAACCTCCTGATGGCCAGTGGCGGGTGAAGGCCCAGCCACCCAGCTTTTACTGAGGGTGGGTGGTGGCGGATGGGTTCTCCGTGATCTCTCCCCCACCTGCTAGATCCAGACACAGACTCCGACAGTGACCTGTCCCTGGAGGATGACCAGAGCGGCTCCTATGCATCTACCCACTCATCAGACAGCGAGGAAGAGGAAGAGGAAGAGGAGAGGGAGGCAGCCTTCCCTGGAGACCCGGGCTGGGACAGCCTGCTGGGGCCTGGGGCCGAGAGACTGCCCCTGCACAGCACCCCCAAGGGTGGGCCAGGGCAGGGCTGTGGCCTCTGGGGGCAGCGGGAGGGCAGAGGGGCTGGGATTCCTGGGAGGGGAGACTAGGGTGGCGATTCTCCTGGCTGCCTTCTCTGGGCCTTATCTCCTTCCTCTGTCCACCAGAGGGAGGCCTGGGGCCCGGGAAGGTCCCCTGGCCAGGAGACTTTGGGACCACAGCAAAGGAAGGTGGTGGCAACGGGGCCTCTGAGGAGCGACCACGAGAGAATGGAGATGCCCTGCCTTGGGAGGGGTCCCTGGGCCCCCTTCCAGGCCCTTCTGCCCAGCCTCACAAAGGTGAGTGGGGTATGCACAGCTGCGTGCTCCCCATCAACAGCCCCCCGCACCTCACACCAGCCTGCGGCCCGTGGACGTGCTCCTTCCACCTGCCCCTCATAGTGCCCACCTCTGGCCCACAGGTATCCTCAAGAAGAAGTGTCTGCCCACCATCAGTGAGAAGAGCAGCCTCCTCCGGCTACCCCCCGAGCAAGGCGCCACGTCTCCCCGGGGCTCCTCAGCCAGCGAGGGCAGCCGGGGTGGGCTGCCTCCCCGCCCTCCGCCCCGGCAGAGCCTCCAGGAGCAGCTGAACGGGGCCATGCCCATTGCCATGAGCATCAAGGCGGGCACGGTGGATGAGGACTCCTCAGGCTCCGAGTGAGTGTGGCTGGGCGGGCGGGTCAGGCGCAGCCCCGCAGAGGCCCTGCCTCCAGACCTCCCCCAGGCCACCCTGGCTGGCCGCAGACTGTGGTCCGGGGCCCTCAGGCCACGTGCCCACAGACGTGGTGCCCCTCGGGGTTGGCCCAGCCCAGCATCGGGTAGAGTGGGGGAGGGCAGGGAGCTGGGGTTGCTTTTCTGTTTCCTTCTTCAGGGAAAGCTTCTCCCTGTCTCCTCTGCTCTGACTAACCCTCTGTCTGCCTTGTCTGTCACTTTGCTTTCCTGCCTCTCCAGATTTCTCTTCTTTAACTTCCTGCATTAACTCTGGGCCGTGGTTCCTACACCCCGAGGCTCCCTTACCTTCCCCAGCTGCACTCATGCCCCCACTCCTGTCTTGTGCTTTATCCTGCCTCTGCTCCCCCGCCTGCCTGCCTGCAGCAGCGATGAAACGTCCATCTGAGGAGCCTGGGCCTTGCCGGGAGGGGTACCCACCCCACCCCAGGCCATCTAGTGCCAACTCCCTTCCCCATCATCCCCCTCACTGCACTTTGGACCCCTGGGGCCAACATCTCCAAGACAAAGTTTTTCAGAAAAGAGGAAAAAAAAAAAAAAGAAATTTAAAAAAGGATCTCCACTCTTCATGACTTCAGGGATTAATTTTTTTTATATGCTGGACACTGACTCCCCTTTCCCTCCCCTAAGAGGCTAGGACCCCCCAGGATGCTCTCCCAGCCTCTCCTCAGTTTCCCATCTGCTGTGCCTCTGGGAGGAGAGGGGCTCTTGGGGGGGCCTGCCCCTCGTCTGCCATCACCAAAAGGAAAGGACGAAGCCACACGCACCCAGGGCGTCGTGCCCTGCAGGCTGCACCGGCTGGGCCTCAGCGCGGCAAGGGTGGCAGGACGGAGGGCGCTCCTCACCGTGCCTGTGCTGCCACCTCCAGGAACTGCAAAAGCCCTGTCCGGAGAGGGGGCAGAAGGACTCAGCGCCCCCGGACCCCCAAATGCTGCATGAACACATTCTGAGGGGAACCCGCGCCCCTGGGTGGCGGCCGGGCCACCCCCGCCCCTCTCCTTTCCCTGGACTCTGGCCACGTGCTGCAGCCCGGGTGTTTGCTCAGTTCGCTGACCCAAAAGTGCTTCATTTCCCTGCCTGACCCGTGCTGGGGAAGGCCAGTCACGTGTTAAGTTGCGCTTCTTTGCTATTATATGGGTGGGACAGGGAGGAGGAAGACTGGCGGGAGTCCCCTGCCGTCTCCAGCCCAGGTCTGGAGTCCGGGATCCCGTGTCCACTCACCCTCCTCCGGGACCAGACAAATCCCACTGACCTGCTGTGGCCTCTTGAGACATGTTCTGTTTTTATCTCCTTCTTGGAATTGGCTCTCTTCTTCAAAAGACCAAGTCCTGTTCCTTTTTCTCCCCCTCACCACCCAGCTCCCTGCGAAGAGAGAGTTAATATATATTTTTTATTTATTTGCTTGTTGTTTTGGGATGGGTCCAGTCCCAGGGGGTCTGACGTGGCCATCACAGGTTGGGTGTGTACCCAGCAGTCCTGGCAAGGGGGCCTAAGGCCCTTGTTCTTGCTCCAGGCTGTCATCTCCCCACCTCTCCTCTTCCTCCTTGGTTTTGCCAGCTGCTATTCATTGGAGTCACCATTTACACTAAACATGTATTCCAGACTTGTCACCAACTTTCCTCTGGAGCAGGTGGCTAGAAAAAGAGGCTCTGAGTAGAGAAAATACTCTTACTTCTCATTTGTAAGGCTGGTCTCTGGCTTTTCTGCCATGGATTCTCCCCCCTGGCCTCTCCCCTCGGCAATTCCTGCAAAAGGTTAAAAACTTAACTGGTTTTTACTACTGATGACTTGACCTAAAAAAATACAAAGATGCTGGATGCTAACTTGATACTAACCATCTGACTGTACAGTTTGATTGTTACTGTAAATATGGTAGCACTTTGTGTTTTGTTTTTTCATTTCTCCATACTACTAAATAAACTAGTTCTGTGCGGGCTGAGCACCGTCACTGTGTCCTCCTGTGTGCGGCCCTGTCCTTCCAGAGGGCATAGGCCTGGTCTCCGGAAAACAAGGGCAGGCAGGGCCCTGGGAGGGCCCAGGTCAGGGGACTCAGATATCCTCTACCGACATTCGCAGCAGTGACCCCCGAGTAGCCTCATCAGTACTGAGCCCATGTCCTGGTATCTCCAAGGAAGATGTGACCAATAGCAGGGAAAGTATGCTTTTCACCAGGACAGGAGGGCCTTGTATGGCTGGAGAGGCTGCACAGAGCAGGCAGGATTCCAGCTGCGTCCTGTTCTGGGAGCAGAATTCAGGAGGTAGGGAGGGCTGAGTAAAGAGGCTGTTGGGAATTCAAAGGTGCTCAGTGACTAGGTACCTCCTGATTTCACTCCTCTGGGCTGTCTTGTGTTTCTCCGCATCAGTAATAAAGCAACTATTCATACTCTAGCCAGCTGTATACTCTGCCACATCATTTGTGTTACCAAGTTGTGTTTTCGATCTGTTCAACAAACTAGATAGGGAGTTCACATGGGGGCCACAGAGGGGAGCTGTTTAGAACACAAACACTGGAATCAGACTGAATGACTTAATCTCTCTGAGCCTTAGTTCCCCTGCCTGCAAAATGAGGATAATGGTGTCTGCCTAATTGAGCTTTTATGAGAATTAAGTGAGTTAACACATGTAAGTGCTTTGAACAGTTCACAGTGCATAGTAAGAGGCCAACAAACCTTGGCTTCCCTCCTTGGTGCTACTGGGTTGGGGTGGAGGTAAGAGTGCCAGAAAGAGAAAAAACAGAAAGCCTGACCAAAAGGGAAGGAAGTGAGCAGGTAGCAAAGGAGAAGGGCAGCTGCTGGGGGGAATGGGGGGGGCTCCTCCCCAGCTGACGCTGCCTCCTTAGCACTGCAATGTTGCTTAAGCAGATTTGCAATGGGATTGGAAGAGCCATTAACCTTTAACCAAACCCCAGACTGACCTAAAGGGCAAAAGGAACAGGTCTTGTCCTCTTTGGCCACCAGGTGGCAACAACACACGGGTCTGCTGCTTATTTTACCTCTGAGCATCCACAGGACCTGGCCCACACCCAGGCCATACAAACAGGCCATCTGCTGGCCACACCTAAGTGCATGCCTGGGCTTGCTTCTGTCAGACACCAGTGCAGGACGCAGTTGGGATGCACACCTGATGTTTTCTTGCCTCTGCCAGATTTCTCCAGAGCTGAATACTCAGTGTCTGTCTCCACACCCCCTCCCTGAACTCAATGCTCAGAAGCCCACAGGCTGCAGGAGTTGCTGCAAGAGGCTCAGGAAAGATGACGTGTGCTGGTGACACATGGTGAATGAACCTGACGATCAGCCATAAGAAGGAAGAAGCCATGGTGGGGGGTGGTGGCTGGCCCTGGGAACAAGGGGAAGGGCCTGTTAGTGCCTCAGAAGGAGGCCTATGGATGTGTAAACCTGGGGGGCAGGGCACCAGCTGGAACTCACTCCCTTTATCCAGCTGCCTGCAGCCTTCCTTAAGTCAGGGCCTGGCCTCCAAGGAGGAAAGTCCTCTCAAAACTCACAAGGAACTGAGCTGGCTCCAGTTGCAAGTCAACAGCTGTGAGAAAAGGGAGACCTGTAGTTAAATCTGTTAAACCTTTTGTCATTCATTTTCAATAAACGAATGAAATCCTCCACCATGTACAACTTACAACACGAGGCACAGCACAAGTTTATAAACCCTGGTGCCAGCCCTCTAGAATGGGAAGGAAAAGAACACCAACAATTCTAAAGATGTGAGGCACAGCATGATGAGGTGATCACGTATCTTCTAACTGAGACAGCCAGCAAACCTGAACACCAGAGTACCCACCCAAGGGCTCCCTCATCCTTGAAGTACAGCAGACAAGATGCTCAACTCCCAGGCAGCTCTATTCTCTTACCAGGAAAAGACACCCACATTTAGGATCCAAATAATTTACCAAGACCCTGGTTTGACAGCCTCACATACTGTGAATTAAACTATACTTAAGTTGATCTGGACCCAGTAATAACATAAGAAGCCTGGAAATGCCTGGGAAGAGGCAGCCTATTCCCACTGAATGCCAGCAAGGGGGCTACTCATTGCCTGATGAACTGGAATCTCAAGGCCTTTGGGCCTATTCAGACCCCTGCCTGGGAAACCAATCCCGGCTCCCTCATTGAAATTACATAGGAGTTTACTCCAAATCTGTTAGAAACTGGAGGAGTATTTACTTCCACATATACACAGAATATAAAAATATATGCATTTTATTTTAGAAAAAAAATGCAGACCAACGGAGTAAGCTTATTATAAACTGGCCCATTAGGAGTCACAGAATCCACAGGAAACAAGTTCTGGAGACCAGATGCCTGCCTCTGCCTCTCCAAACAGGCCTGAGTCCAGGAGAGGATGTGATTCTGGAGGACTGCTCCTTGGAGAGCAGGGAGGTTGGCCACAGAGGCCATTCACATGTAAATGTCCAGTGAACCGAAGCCCGGGGAGAAAATCAAACTTTGGACCAGGATACAAGAGTGGGGGTGAATAAGGACAAACACTCTCCAGCATTTCTTATTTTCTCTGTGTGAACTTCACCACTGCGAGGCGACCTCTTTTCCCTATCTAATGTCAACTCAAGAGAGTTTGACTCCCCTCCAGCTCAACCCTAATCCACCGCATCTCCCGCAGTCTCTAGTTCTGAAGCACCAGTTGGAGTGGCAGCTCTTTCTTCTATCCCTGGGCCAGATCTGCTATCAGGCCTGCCTCCAAAGAGAAGGCTTGGGAAACCAAACAGAGGTGAGTCCAGGCAGTGGCTATAGTGGTTTGCTACTGCATTCTTGCTTGCTGTCCTGATCTCTTTACCTAAGGAGACAGAAGGAAGAACTGCTTTAAACTGCCCTTCTTTCACAAGCCCATCTGTCACGAGCTGAATTCAAGTTCCTCAGGGTGGGAAGCAATGGGACTCCGTGCCCCTTGAGGCTCCCCTCCTCATGCCCATCTTGCCTCATGGGATTTGGGGCTGAAGGGCAAAACAGCCTGGAAGCCCAGATGATAATGAAGAAAGAGACAGCATCTCACTGTCTTACCTGGTAGGTCCTGGGATAGCAACTTTCCTGGGAGGCTGCAGATTGCTGCGACCAGTACCAGAGATGGGAAGATTTGGTCGTTGAGAAACAGGAACTTGATGGGAGTCAACAAAAGACATGAGTTAGCAGAGAGTTCAAGTGACCTTCTCAAAAAGAAATAGTGTTGTCAAGGCAGTGAGTCTGGGATAGTGCCTTTCTTCCCCAAGGTAAAAAACATAAGGTATGCGAAAACCAAGGCTTGAAAGCTTTGCTCAGGCCCACATCCTCTCCTTAACGCAGTCTCCCATCTCCAGACAGTGCTGTAATGAGGGTGGGAGAGTCGCTGTGACCAACTGGGAGAGTGCATGCATGCTGTGCAAGGGTAAATATTATTCCTCCTGATTTCTTATTCTTTTTTTGAAGATTTCTCATTCTTTGTCTGTTCTTCCTCACCTCTGTGCCCTGCCACACTTGGTCTTGGAAGTCCTTTCCGAGCTGCCAGGGAATCTGAAGGAGGGGCACCTTTGCTGGATGGGACACTCCGGCTGGCAAGTGGCATCCTGCTGCCAGGCCTGGGAATGGCCGAGGGAACAGGCAGTCGACTGGAAGGTTTAGCAGCTGCTCCCTGGGGCCGAGACAGGCGCTGAGAGTTGCCGGTAGAAGGCTGTGGGGCCAAGACTGGTCTGACAGGGGTAGGTGGACCTGGTGAGAGGAGTGGAGGAATTTCAGGGTTCACACCACATCCTCCCCACTCCCTACACCCCACCCACCCACAGTTTCACCGCCCAGGTCTTCTCACTTGCTGTCGCTCTCCCACTGGGCCCGGCTTTTCCCCGGACTGGAGGAGTCGATCGGGCAAGAGGAGAAGACGCTGGGCTTTTGGAGGCAGGGAACAGATTGCATGTGGGCGACTCCTGAAACACACAGAGGGAGAAAAGGACTAGAGTGGAAAAAGAATCTGTTCTGCCTGGCTGACTCAGGGACAGAGGTGGAGAGCTTCCTAGATCCCAAGAAGAGAAGTTAGCTGCCAACAACAGCAGCGTCACCACCACCGCCATTTATTGAGAGCTTATTACAGACATTACAGAGCTTATACACAGATGCTGTGGTACGTGCCTTGCTTCTGGCACCTCGTTTAATTCCAACAATTCTACAAGGTAGAATTTGACTATCTCCATCTTACCAACAAGGAAAATGTCTGTAGTGGGTCATGTACAGTGTCGGAGGCACACATCTAAGCCAAGCCCTCTCAACTCACCCTCTTCACGCTGGAAGGCTTCTTTCCAGATGTTGTTCTAAGAGCCCTGACGGACCCCTTCCTATCGCTGCTCCGGAGTCGGGGTGTCAGGCTGCTTGGAGAGGGGGTGCTCCGTGCCAAAGAGCTCACGGTCGGCAGCAGGTCTCGGACAGGACTGTCCTTGAGCACAAAGGTCTCCCGTCGAGGGCTGGGCTTCACCCTTCGAGGCCCTGAGCCCTCGCCTGTGTTCTCCCGTTCCTGCAGGGCACACTGCTCCAGCTGAGCAGCCAGCCGGTTGGCTTCATGGAGGATTTCTTCCAGCTTCTCTGGACTGAGGGGGCCTAGGCTGAGCCTCAGACCCTGGGGGGTGGGGGCCACTGCATTTGGGTCACTTCGATGGGACAGGCCTCGTCGGAGGGGTTTCTCCGCAGTCACCAACACTGCTACATCTTCTTCCTCTCGACTGAGACAGAAAACAAACCAGGCATCATGCCCACAGGAGAAAACTGCAAGGGGGACTGGACAAAACCCCCACAGCAGAGTCAAGAACACAACTGCAAACCCTGAAGCCCATACTGGCCGTGAGATCTAAGTGATGAAACACCTGGTTCTACGAGGCCTTCTGCGCTTACTGACGTTGGAAATTATGCCGGGGTGAAGATGCCATAAATCCACTTACCCTTCTTCTTAACACCCTGAAATCTCATTCCAGCTTATCACTCCCCACATCCCCAGCAGTGTCGCCGGGCCACCCAGCCACCCAGAAGCCCCAGTGCACCCAACCTTGCTAAATTACCAATCCAGACCCGAGGCCAATAGTTCAACAGTAAGGGGTTAAAACAACCGTTGTGAGAAAAAAGTAAACAGGGTAAAGAGTCTACTACCTGTCCGATGGTGACAGCCCCCCAAAGTCCAAGGTCTCATCCGCTATAAACTTTACGTCTGTAGGGGAGGAAAGAAGGAATGTCAGCTTTCAGTCCCCAACATGGCTCTCAATCACAGGGTCCCATTCTTCCCTCCAGCGTTTCCTTACCTTCTTCTAAATCTTCCATGTTCCAGACAGCAGGAAAGAGTCAGCTTAGACACCCGAGCTGGAGAGAAAACACCTTCCCTCACGTCTCCATCCTGCCCAAGGCCTCCCAGCTAGACTCCGGGTGCAAGCCAAGGGTTGGGAATAATCGTGAAGGTAAAGCAAGCGTTCCCGCAGTAGGACTTGCCCCGGTAAACTACCTTTGCTACCACCCGGGCAAGTACGGGCAGAAGGTCCCGCACTCCATCTCCCTCCACACACCGGCCCCGCCCCACTGCGACCCAACCTCCCCTAGCTGGAGCGGTCTACGCGCCCCATCTTCCTCCCCGCCACCATTCTCCGGGTTCTTCCTCTCCCCAAGGCACCTTTCTACTCCCCGCAGCACCGCATCCACACCACTTCTACAGGCCACGCTCCGTTTTCAGTTTCCGACCCGCCCCACCTCCCGTGGAAGGTGCTTTCCTTCCACAATCTAGTCCCGGGAATCAGCTCCCAGGGGGCGGGGCTCCTTTCGAATCTCTCAGGTCCCACCCACTCCCCCCACACGCGCTCAATGATTGGTGGAGGCCGGCATCCCCACGCCCTTCTGAGGCGGGGCGGCGGAGGGGCAGTCGGCCGGAAGTCTGCAGGTGGGGCAGAGTGGAAAGCCGTTCTGTGAAAGACTCCATCCGGAGGGCCAAGGCGGGGAGCCCGCGAGTGCGGGCTCGTGCCCGGGAGATTTTGCTTGGATTCTCTTCAGCAGCCTGGATCTCGCGGCGGCGCGCGAGGGAACGGCCCAATGAGCGAGGGCTTCGCACCCTGCCGCACTCTCATCTCCGCCCCCTCCTTCTCCATCGGCTCAGAGCTGAGCTTTAAAGCGGTGAAATTAATGCTCCGCTTGGGGAAATTCGTTTTCTTAGGCTCACTTCGTTCGGAAGCTCCGTGTGAGCCCGATCCCTCAGTTGTCATTTTTCCAAATTTACGGAAGCAACTAAACGCTTATATTTTAAGTATACTGAGGTTCTCTAAGAAGTGCATCTCCACGGGCTTTTTGGGCAAAGACATTCGGATCCTGAGCCATTCAAGGTGTGAAGAAAACAACGGGTTTTTTCATACAGGGAGATTTGGGTTCAGATTCAACCGTGGCTCCCCTGTTGACAAGAATATTGAGTACATTTGACCTTTCTGAGCTTATATTTGACCCCTCGCTTATCTAAGAGGATCGTGATCATCACAGTACATTGTTAGGAGAATAATTATGAATATCGAGTTTTATACCGTGTGCCTTAAGAGCTTTTGAGGGTAATATTTGTAACTGGCTTCCTCTAAATTAAAAGCTGTGTTGTGAAAAGTTTAAGCCTTCTTATTAGGGATTTTCTTTGTTGCTTACAAGGGTTGCCTGTGAACAGACTGGGCCATCTGTTAATAGAGTTTCTCAGAAATATTATAAAATTTTGAAATTAAAAGTCCCCAAAAGATGGTTAAAGAGTTCTCCCATTAACAAAGAGCCTGAACGTTCAGTCTCCAGAGTTTATGACCACTATTTTGGCTATTTATAGGCTTTTTGTTTACTTCTCAGTTTTTAGCTGTAAATTTGAGGTGGTGAGGTTTGCAAGAGTGAGATGTTATTGTAGTAAATGCCACAGGAAGGAAGGAGCCTTGGAGTTTAGTAGTGTGATAAAGGGAGAGGATGGGGAGACCCAGAACTTGCAAGTTTATGTGAGGAAGAGCTGGGACAAGAGGACTGCCTCTTTTGCGTTGGGTTCCTGGTGAAGGTGGGATTTTAGTTGCTTGCAGGGTTCAGAGTCTTTGGAGGTAAGAAAACCAAAGCCAGTAGCTTCCTTCTTTCCAGGCAGGTAGTGGCAAAGTGGGGATCAGAGGGAAAGAAGCTAACTGTTTTCCTTCTTCCCCTAGGAGCAGCCTGAGTAAGGAAATTCTTCACACACCTTCAGGTAAGTGAAGGAGGCAGTTTTAGAAAGTTGGGAGTTAATTCCCTCTAAGGAAACCCATCTCCAGTTTTCTATCACCAAATTATGATTTTGAAAGCTGTTGTAGAGAAATAAGCAATGGATCTACTTTCTTTTCCATCAGAATGACAACGAGGCAGAAAATGTAGATCCAGGCACAACAATTTTTCACTCAGCATAAAGGCCTCTAATCTGGGAAATATGTGACCCTCTCAGGTCAACCCCAAAATGATATGTATGAATAGGTATTAAAGATTTTGGATAAATAATGAAGAGATAAACTAATGAAGAAATCATCCTCCCTCCCAGGCACATGGTAAGCCTTAGTTCAGAAGGTACTTTGAGCATAGTGTTGAGTGCATAAATGAAAAATTTAGGATTCCAGTACAGTTCTCCTTGGATGCAGGCTAGCGTCTTGGTCACTGTATACATGACTGGCTGGCTTTGGACTCTGGCCCCTGCTCCTTAACGGTCCTCCCAACATTCTCATCAAGTGCATTAGACCCTACATATGATTAGTGTGACTGTTTTCTCAGTTGTCCCAAGGATGCTAAATAACTAGTAACATTCTGGATGCATAGAAAGAAGTTAATTTATCACATGTAAGGAATGCCTTGGGACATTGGAACTTAATTCTCATAGAACTGCAGTTGACAAAGGCTAGAATAGATACTTGGTCTCAACTGAAAATAAGCATTTTAGTCTGATCAGAACAGCTCTTCGTACTTAGCCGAAATAGATCCCTTCCTTTTTGAAAACTTTGCCTTATATTTACTGTCTTCTAGGAATGTTTTCTTTCTTAAACCCATGATTCCAACCCAGACCCAAACAGTGGGGGTCCCTGGGTGAAAGACATGAGAAGAAATATGGAAAGCTTGAAGTCAAACAGACCTGGTTCAAATCCTAGAGCTTCTACTTTCCAGCTGCATAACTTAGAGCAATTTATAAGCTTCAACTCACTCATTTGTAAAATGAAGATTAAAAGAGATAAAGCCTTCAGAGCCTCATGCATAGAAGGCTGTTTCAATCGTATTAATGTGTATATATAGTGGTTTGAAACAACAGCAACTATTCATCTGCTCATGATTTTACAATTTTGCTGGACTGTTCAAGGAGAGCCTGTCTTTACAGAAGGAGTAGATTGGGTTTGTCTAGAGCTGCAGGCTCACAGGTGGCCCCACATGTCTAGGCCGCTGGTGCTGGCTATCAGCTGGGATTCTTGGTTGTCCTTCATGGGCCTCCCATAATTCAGCAATCTATGATGAGATTCTTTAATTGGGAACATGACAATTCTTTAATTGTGCACATGACTGGCCGGGAAGCCAGTCAGTTATGTACACAATGACTTCCAAAAGCAAAAACAGAAACTAGTAGACCTCTCAACTGGCATAGCATCACTTCCACTATGTTCTTTTGATCAAAAAAGGTCACCTGGTCAGCCAGATTCAAGGGGGGGAAGAAACAGACTCCAATTCTGGATGGGAAGAGCACCATGCCCGTACCAGGATGGGAGGAATTATCGCTGTCTTCTGCAGATTCCATCACAGAATGCCTTCAGTATGTTATTTGTTATAGAAATGAAAACATGTAAGCAAGAGCACATCACCTTTAGGGCTTATTGTGACTCTGCTTCACTTTCTTCATTGTCTCCTAGCCCTCAGGTTTTAGCGCTCTGTCTTTAATTAGCTATGCATGTATTCATGTATCCTGTTGTCTAGTTCTCTATGATAGAATTGCATCCAGCTTTCCAACTTATACTGGAAAGCGCAGAGAGGAAGAGGGCAGGTCATCTTGAACATCCCTTTGAGCACCTGATACTGTAGAGCGCTATCGTGACTGTCTAGAGAAAAAGACAGTGTTAGGGATCTCTGTGGAAGAGAACATGGGTATAGGAAGAGAAGGAGGAGTCTTGGAGGTGCAGAGATTCCACAAGTCTGGCTCAAGGACTGCAGTCTTCTCAGTGGTTTTCTATACGGAAAGCCTGAAACAGATGGACACTTTTGCACTGAGCATCCACACTTTTATTTAGATTAGTCCAAACAGACACTGTGCTGGAGCTTCTTAAGAACACAGTCTCGCCACAGGCTTCCTGGAAGGACAGAAAAGAGAGGGTATGTTGTGGCCATAACAGCCGACAGCCAGAGTGCATCGAGGCTGCTGAGGCAACCCATTCACATGCTCTGCATCCTGTGCTCTGAATTCTCCATTTGCCCGGCTTCGTTGCTGGCACTAACTGGGAGAGATGGGAAAGGGCAACTAACAGTGACAAGGATAACGCCCACACAGTGTCGTTAACCTAACCTTAATGCAGAGAGGAACTGAGGGATGGCCAGAGAACTGACTGTGCAAGCCAACTGGCAGAGAGAGCGCTCCTGAGAAGCTCGCATTTTAATGCGTCCCTCAGGGTTTTCATTTGCTATAGAGCAGTGAGAGGCTTAAATAAATGGCTCCTGGGATGGAATTCACTCTTGGGTTTCATCAGCCAGGAGCTGCAAGTCAGAGGAGACCTTGAGAACCAGTTCTGTTTAATTTTCTCATGAGCTTCCTTTTCACCCCACTCATCAGCTTGTACACATTTCTACTGTGAATGATGTAGTCTTGAAGGAGCTGTCAAGTTCTACACGACAATCTGAGTTGCCCTTTGTCAATAATGTGCTGCTTGGGACCACATAACCCACATGCTCAATTATTATTGACATATGAGGATAACAGTGGTTTTCTTCTCTTGGAAGGGAAGGAACCCGAAAGCTTCAAAGTAAAAAGCAAGCAAACTAATCTGTTTTTCATCATGCTTAACATACTGTGGTAGAAACACTTATTGACAGGAACATCTTCTCTCTTTTTCTGCCGTATGGTGTTCGTGACCTCCACCATCCTCCTCTCCTGACTGTTTCCTTGATGCCTTTCCTTACAGCACCTGTTCACTCCTTCCCACAGAGCCCCCCAGCCCCCCCCCCCTTACAATTAGGTACATGCTATCACTCTTCTTCAGAAGACCATTAAGTTTAATTCCTAACATCAGCTTGAGGAGTACCGATAGATGGAGGCTGAGACCAAAGTAGACCTCATCTATAGTAAATTTCCTCCCCATGGATGATAGTATTTATTCACTTACAAAAACGTGGTTAAAAGAAAAGAAGTGTGTACACAGTCGCAGCTGTTCTGCCTTCTCTCTCAAATGCCAGCACTGCCTCTAGCTCAAAGAGCTCCAGCCATGGAGAAGGGGGAATAATTAAGGAGGTCTCTATATGGTGGCTCAAGACGGCCTTCAAATCCGTGGCTGGTAAAGCAACTGGCTACAAAAGCTGCGCCCTCTACTGGAGGGGTAAAGAAACCTCATCGTTAACAAGACTGGTACTGTGGCACTCGGTGAAATCAGACGTAACCTTAGAAGTCACTAGATGAGCAAACTTCCCTTTCTGCATCTCCTGCAGGAAATTGCCCAGGAACTCAGAACAGATCTGAGCCTCCAGAGGGCAGCTATTGGCGCTTCACAGGAGGCAAACCAGGCCTGTCTGGTGGGCCTTTTTGAAAATGTCAACCTGTGTGTTATCCATGCCAAACATGTAACAATTATAGCAAAGACATCCAGCTAGCATACCACAAAGGTGGAGAACCTGCTTAAGAATACACTATGATGGATACATTTCATTCTTTAAAAAAAAAAAGTTCTCTTCTTCCTGCTATTGGTAGTTCTGAACATTATTTTTTTTCTATTGAGTCAAAAGGTACCTAAGTGTATGTTCGCAAGTGGAAAAATGGGGGACAGAAATCAGGTATTGGTAGTTTCTCCGTTTTCATTTCTGTGTGAATTTTTAACATAAATGTGGGACCATAAAGCATTAATGCCAGTCAAAATGTTTCAGTAAACAAGATTCAGCAGTTCAATTTTATAACAATAATAAATAAACCTGTCATAGTGGAAATATAGGTAACTTTGTTCTGTATTTTCCAAGTCTTCTGTAAATGTGTTATCATACTTCCATAATTCAAAAAATAAAAATGAAAGAGAATAAATAAATAAACCAGTTAAATTTTTCTGGACAATGCCAGCATTTGGATTTTTTTAAAACAAGCAAATTTCTTATTGACTTCAACTAAATGGTGTTTATAGCATTTTAATTATACAGTAGATTCCATCCATTCAGTATACTTTTCTGAGTTGTCCTACATGCAAGTACATGTTTTTAATGTTTTCTGTCTTCTGTGCTATGTTTGCTATTAAAATACATTAAACTATTTTTTAAAAAAGTGGTTGCCAGTGAGTGTGTGGTTGAAAGGCTCAGGAATATATATCTGTCCCAGATTCAACAACACTAACCATAAACATAAAATACTGCACTCAGACCCCCTGTACCTCTTTCCTTACCTTCCTCAGAGTTACCCATTTCCGCTTAGGGTGCCTCAATTAGGAGCTGCAAGAATTAAGACATTTCTCAGGGTTAATATCTCAGAAATCTCTGGGAAACCTTTGAGAACATCAAGAAGGGATATACTTTCAGGTCTGGGAGAAGTCTATGGCGCTAATTAGGAATCTATGCAGAGGGAAGAATAGGACATGTAATGGCCCGTTCAGCCCTGATTCATGCTGCATACACTTAGAAAGGGCCCACTGTGTGTCATAAACTGGGCTAAATACTGGGGGACAAAGGCAAATAAGATGGTCTCTGCCCTCAAAGTGCTCATAGTTTATGGGGAGATAGATCAGTAAATATATCATTATAAACAATATTCCAAATGCAATGATGCGGACTTCCTAGTGGTCCAGTGGTTAATCCTCCACACTCCCAATGCAGGCTGCTTGGTTTTAATCCCTGGTCAGGGAACTGGATCCCACATGCCACAACTAAAGATCCCGCATGCCACAATTAAGATGGAAGATCCTGCTGGCACAACCAAATAAATAAAAATAAATTAAAAATAAATGTAATGATGATCTGAGCAAGGTTACCAGAATGGATAAATAAGTGAATGCTTGAAAAGAGGTAGAGAGAGACTGTGCAGCATTTTTGTTTTAACAACTGGAGATGAAAGTCCTTTGGTTTGTCTAAATGCCCAACAAAGAGCTGCAGCTCTCTGGGATTGAGTCAGGAGATCATACAGTTTAATGAAAACAATCTGGGTGAGGTCCAGGAGACTTGGCCTCTTTCCACCACAGAGCCAACTCCTCAACTAACCAACACTGGAAATCCAGGGTAAGCTGATCAGTCACCTCCCTTTGCTTCAGGTCTCTCCTTTGCAAAGCGGAAATAGCGATTCTTCCTAAATTACAGAATTATGATGGAGAAAAATGAAAGAGTGGATAATAAAGACGGTTCCTCAGATACAACCTGATGATGACAGTAATGAGACGGCCTGAAGGGGAAGCCCCCCAAGCCCTTCTCCTTCTAGGCTTGTGTCTCTGCCCTCAGATTTTCCACCTAAGGAGAGAGGAGGTGCTTGCACCCTAAGATTACAGGTCTGCCCTTACCTTTCACATCCACCCGACAGTCCACGGACGCCTCCCCCAGGGGGTTAACCGCCTTGCAGGTGTAGATGCCTCCATCAAAGGGGCCAGGCTTGCGGATTTCCAGGGAGCAGATTCCCAGGTGAGTAAGGGCTCTGTACTTGGGGTTGCCCTGGATATCCATCTTGTTCTTCAGCCAGATGATCTTCGGCTGGAAGATAAAGATGACGGGGGAGAGTAGGAAGAAACCAACACAGCTCCATTGCCCCTGCCAGAGGGACAGCTTGGAACCTCGTGCCCAGATGCTAGCAGGTCATTAAGTGACCGGAGAAGGCAATGGCACCCCACTCCAGTACTCTTGCCTGGAAAATCCCAGGGACGGAGGAGCCTGGTAGGCTGCAGTCCATGGGGTCGCACAGAGTCGGACACAACTGAAGCGACTTAGCAGCAGCAGCAGCAGTATTAAGTGACATCTTCGTGTATGAGGAACAAACACTAAAAGGCAAACTGGAAACATTATCCCCATCGGCCTGTCTTGAACCCCAGTGCCCTGAGTGTTCCTACCTAATGTGCTGTGAAGATGACAGGAATAAATGTTTTGGTTAGAATGTTCCTCAGCAGGCAGAAAGTAACACAGCCCAGCCACGCACAGACCTCCCTGCTCACCTTGGGGGAGGCACGGACGCAGCAGAAGAGCTGGGTGTCGTAGCCAATGACTGTCGTGCAGTCCGCCAGGGGCTGGGTGAACTTCGGGGCTTCAGAGAAATCTCGCTGGGCAAAGCCCTCGGTCTTGTAAACAGTAGCTGAGGGGACCAAGAAATGCCTGAGGGCCCCATCCCTCTCCAACTCTTTCTCCTTAACTCTTCGCAGCTTTGAGTCCTGGTGGTGCCTTACCTGCTTTCTGGATGTGGGCCAGGTCGGCAGTGACGGGGGCGTTCTCGCTGAGCCCACACTGGTTCTCAGCAAAGACTCGAAATGCGTAGGAGTTGCCGACGATGAGGTTGGAGACCGTGCAGCTGGTGCGGTGATAGTGCTCCAGCACACTGAACCACAGCTGTGAGTGTCCCCACAAGACGCCGGGAGTGAGACCCCTGTTTAGGGCATTCACTGATCCCCAGCCAACCACATGGAGTTACCAGAGCCCCATTTCAGAATGTCCGTGTTCCTCCCTCCCTCTCTCCCAGCCAGGCCTCACCCCAGACTTGGTGTCAGCCTTCTGCACCGTGTATCCCAGGAGGGCCGCATTGCCCATGTCTTGGGGAGGAGTCCACTCCAGGGTAGCGCTGGAGCCCCAGACATCCACCAATTTGATGCTCTGAGGAGGGCCCGGCCTCTCTGAAAGGGCCAAGCAAGACTGTGGACAGGACACGCCTCTCCTGCTGTGACATCACTCCAGGAGGGGCGTCTGCTATGCCAGCCCTCCCTCCACCTTCCACTGCGCCCCCCCAGTCCTGCTTCCCCAGCTCTCTGTGCGGATCCCCATTCAGGCTGGAGCGGGAGCCCCGAGGACCACCCAGTCTCCCACTCCCCCCATGGTACCAATCACCAGGATGTCAATGGTGGCGGTGGCCTCCAGCCCGCCCAGCCGCACGCTGAGCTGGTAACGACCCGAGTCCGCACGCTGCGCCTCTCTGATGAAGAGGATAGAGTCCCGCTCCCCATTCCGCACACTCACATGACTGGTGTCCAAGGCACAGCCATCACGCGTCCAGATGGCTTGAGGTTTGGGTTTACCCTGAGAAATAGGGAGATGACTGTGAGTGGCCCCCAGAGGGCTCTCGCCCCTCCCAGCTGCAGTAAGGGTCAGATCCACCAGGTCCACATGGTGACTTGACTCACAGCTGCAAATTCTTTGGCTGAAAGATTGGTGAACTGCCCCAGGGGACCTGCATCTCCTGGCAACAGTCTCAGGATCATGGGAAAGGGCTTTGCATCGCCCACCCTCTGAGAGTCTAGGTCATGGACACTCAGGGCAGCTGGGACTAACAATAGCTGCCCAGACTCTTGTCGGTGCATGTGTGCTCACTCAGTCATGTCTGACTCTTTGTGATCCCACAAACTGCAGCTTGCCAGACTCCTCTGTCCATGAGATTTTCCAGGCAAGAATACTGGAGTGGGTTGCCATTTTCTCTTCCAGGAGATCTTCCTGATGCAGAGATCGAACCCACGGCTCCTGCATCTCCTGCATTGGCTGGTGGATTCTTACCAATGAACTACCTGGGATGCCCGCCAGACTCCTGAGAGCCCCACAAGCTGAGAGCTGTCAGATCTCTGCTGATTGCAGGGTGTGGATTAGCCTCACAGCATCCCCTAGGCATGCCTGGCCTGATCTGACCTGATCCCAACCCCCCTCAGGATTGCTCATGGAAGGGCCACCTCAAACTTTGGGGGACATGCACCCTCCATTCAAGGCTAGGATGGCTGCCCCACCACTAGCAGAACTCTTGGTTTTTGTTTCCAAATGAAAACCCTGGCCTGGCTCTGGTCATGGACTCAACGTGGGTCTGCTATGATCACCTGGAATGGGATTAGAAGGTTCACAGTGTCTCCAACCTTCCTGATGTAGGTCTGCCTCAGGGCCCGAGGTAGCCAGATCTTGGGGTGCTCTGAGTGATGGAAAGAGAGAGGGGGGGGTGAGCTTCCTGTAGGGGGAAGAGGAGAGTTTAGAGGGTGTGAATGCTGCATGGAGTTGTGTTCCATATGCGGGTGACCCAGGCAACACTCAGCTAACTCAGCCCTCCCTCAGGGAATGAGAAGATGGCACCTGTTGTCTCACTGAGATTTAGGGATAAGCAACCAGCTGAAGGATCTGAGAGAGAGAGAGCGTTAAAAGTATAGGCAGAAAGAGCACCAAAGGGTGAGCCTGACTCCTACCTCTTTTAATCTGTAGCTCTCTACCACCAACTTTTCATCAACTGAGATATTCTGTTTGTGCATGGACCAGTCTAGCCTGAGTGGTTTGTCTTTCCACTCCTTTTCTACATTTGTCTTCAACACTTCCTTTATCAAGGCCATTTTCAGTGTCAATCCTGGCCCCCAAGTGTCAGCCCCACTTCCCAGTTTGGGGCCAGACACGGAGGAGGAAGCTTTACTTTCCGCAGGTAGTCAACACTCTGAACCCACCAGGACAGCAATGGTGTCACTGCAGGGGGAACTGGCTCCTGGGTCCCTTCCTCCGCGAGGCCACCCTGTTCAGGGGCCTGGGTAGTGTCTTCCAGTCTGTGCAGGATCACTTTGTACAATCAGAATCTGGGAAAGATTAGGTCCATTGCTCACCCCACCCCCTTGATCTTCCAGGCTGTTCCAGTGAAAGAGAGATTAGATTATGTTTATTGGCTTTCAGGATGAAGACAGGAGATGCTCAGGAGTAAAGTTGGAGGATGGGTTCCCTTGGGGTCAGGCTGGATTCCCTTGGGGTCCTGGCTGGAATCTACTCTGTTTTCCAGCCTTCTGGAGCTCCCCTGTCTCCTCCTTTCTCTAGCAGATAGCAGCTTGATAGCAGATTCCAGCCTTTATAACATACATGTCCCTATAAATACATGCCTTAACATTCACCCCAATACATGAATGTTTACTTACAAATAGAACTGTTTAAAATGTACATTACATAATGCAGGATTGGAATGGTGGAGTTGAAAATAAAACAAAAAAAGGTTCTACAAAGCTCTTCCTACCCCTCAGTTTGTAGCTCTTGCTTAGAGACCAGGAACTTCACTCCCACACTCCACCCCCATCACCATCACGAGGTTACTTGGGCTTGGTAGATGAATATAGACAGAAATGTTCAGTGCACGCTGTCCATTTTATTTGCCTAGTTTCCATTTTCACTGGGCAGTTTACATTTCAACCTGGGTTGTGCTGTCTTAGGCTGCGCCGCACCCCTCTACACCAACTGAACAGGAACGGGGTGGTACTGCGAGGCTGGGGGCGGGGGCCGTGTTCCGAGCGCTGTCCCGCCCACGTGGCTCAGGGCCTGAAGCCTCAGCAAGGACTGGGCAGCTCAGAGCCCGGGCAGCTGAACGACCCCGCTCCGCTCGGCTGCCCTCTGTTCGACTTTGGCAGTTTGGGTGGAGGAGGGGCACGAAGAACAGAAGAAGTGTTGTGTGATGTGTTCCTCCCCTGTGGTCATCTTGGCAAGCGACCAAGGAGTTGAGAACGGGCGGATATGACTTTAGGGTTTTCTGAAAAAAGAGGGTGGCAGTTGAAAAGGAGGCTCAAAACCTCATCTTGTTGGCCCTGCTTCCCCACTGCTGGGTGGGGAGCGAACCCTTCACGCTTGCTGGGCAGAGGGTTGGGGAGAAGCCAGCTCTGATGTCCCTTGCACTGCTTATAGCATCTCTGAGTTAGGAGGGACCTGGGGACTTTCCTGGTGGTCCCGCGGTTAAGACTTCACCTTCCAAAGCAGAGGGTGTGGGTTTGATCCCTGGTCAGGGAGCTAAGATCTCACATGGCTTGGGGCCCAAAACCCAAAACATTAAAAAAAAAAAAAAAAAAAACCAACCCAGCAGCAATATTGCAGTCAATTCAATAAAGACTTTTAAAATGGTCCACATGAAAAAAAGAAAGAAAGAAAGAAGTGGGATTCCCTGACAAGAGGATGGATCAAGAAGGGACAAACTTAAGTGACAAGAATGTTCCAGGTCTGAGGACAAGCAGGCAAAGATTCTGCTCTCAGCAGTCTCCCAGCTCCAGTGGGAGGGAGGGCGGAGGATGGACTTGAGGCTGAAGCTGCTGACACAGTGCAGAGGTGGCAGAGGAGTGTGTGACAGCACAGGTGTCTGGGCTGAAGCAAGCCCTTCCCCAGCGCACCCCAGGCTTTGGTCTGCCCAGCAAAAGAGAGCAATCTGACCCTTGCTAAGCATGTTAATAGCAGGGCTCATCTGGGGCCTCTCTTTTCACACATCCACAGTCAGGCGAGGTGTTAATTGTACTGACCTTGGAGAAACCTGGCTCTTCCTGCCACCCAAGGTCTTTCTCCTCCTCAGATGCCAGGAGGGATGTGCACCAAAGACTACCGCCCTGAAGCACAGTCCTGGTTTCCTGAGACCAGTTCTGGGACAGTGGCAGTTTGGTTTTCCCTTCACAGTCTTAGGGAAAAGGTATTTCGAAAAGTGCTATGAGAGTCCTTGGCTTCTGAGCCGTATTGCTCTCAGCACTGAATTTTTCTCAGACAGAATACTGTCTTACAAACTAGTGGAGAAAGGGGACTTCCCTGGTGGTCCAGTGGTTAAGAATCCGCCTTGCAATGCAGAGGCCGTGGGTTTGATCCCTGGTTGGGGAAGATCACACGTGCCACAGAGCAACAGAGCCCAAGAGCCGCAACTAGAGAGTCTGTGTGCTGCAACGAAAGATCCCTCGTGCCACAGCTAAGACCTGATGCAGCCAAATTAATTAATCGTTTAGAAAAAAACCCAAATTTACTTTAAAAAATTTACTTTAAAAAAACCCAAATCTACTTAAAGTCCAGAGATCTTGACCCCTCTTGAATAGAAAATCCCTTCTGACTTCCCTGGTGATCTAGTGGTTAGGACTCGGTGCTTCTAATGCAGTGGGCATGAGTTTGATCCCTGGTCAGGGAACTAGGGTCCCACATGCCATGCAGTTCAGCCAAAAAAACAAAAAAGAAAAGAAAAAAGAAAGAGAATCCCTCCTAATTCTACCTAATTTCATCCTGCTGAGGTTTCCTTCTCTGTCCACGGGAATTAACTGTCAACGTCCTCACTTAATTTGGTTTCACATGGCTAAAGACTTTCCTGCAGTGATTCCCTAAGGACTGTGTAGTTCAGAATGATGGTGTTAATTACGGTCTGGAGGGTGAAGGAACAAGATGGACACATTGAAAGAGTGAAGTGTACATGTCCGTGAGTGTGTGTGAGTGCAGGACTGTGAGGGCATGTGTGTGCACAGGCCTGTGTGAGTAAATGGTTACTGAAAGGCCAAATCCACTAGGCAAGCTACGGCTTCCAGTAACCCCAAAGATTTCCATGGATCCCCAAAAGTACCAGCATTTTTTAGAGAAACGTTAGTTAAGCCACAGGATATCACATGCATCTTACACTTCTCTGAGGAGGAGACTCTGTCACCCTCTCCTCCTCATGCTGATGACGGTGACACTGAGTCAGTGTCACCTTCTCCAACACAGCTAAAGTCAAGATTCTTGGTCATCTCAACACCCAGGCTTCCAGTTCCTGCAGGGCCGCCTCACAGCCTCGCCAGCCACTCCTCCAAAGATTTCATCCTCCCCTGCTTCAGCCCTTGGTTCCTTTAGTCATTGTCTAGGCCAGTAGAATAGAGTCTAGCCACTCTAGAATCTGAATTTCAAGCAGCCCACTCTCTCAGCACCACCTTCTATCCCTTCAACTCTCTCCCTCTAGTGCTTCACTAGCCGCGACCCTTCAGCCCACTGAGACCCCTGACCCATTATCCTCCTACCCCTGCACTCTCCATCACCCCCTCAGTGTTATTTTCTTTCTCACCCAGCTTAGCCTCCACAGTTGTCATCAGATTCGCTCCTTGCAAACCCACTCAAATCCCTAATCCTTTTCACGTCCTAATAACACCCAGCCCCAGTTAACTACCACCCCCTCAGTGCCTGCATCCATACAGCCCAACGTGGCTGGGGAAAATATTACAAAACTGTGCTGACTTTAAATTGATGGCCAGGACTTCCCTGGTGGCCCAGTGGTTAAGAATCTGCCCACCAAAGCAGGGGACAGTGGCTCGATCCGTGATCTGGAAAGATTCCACATACTTCAGGGCCATTAAGGCTGCAAGCTGCAACTATTTAGCCCACCTGCCACAACTACTGAAGCCCGCACGCCTAGAGCCAAGCTCTGCAACAAGAGAAGCCACCGCAATGAAGCCCTCACAGCACAACTAGAGAAAGCCCATGTGTAGCAACGAAGACCCATCGCAGCCAAAAAAAAAAAAAAGCAATTTAAATGGATGGCCCCTACCTCGAAGTAGACACTGGCATTTCTGCCAGACTTCCCTAATTCCTTCAATCTGCTATTCTCCCGGGTGACTGTTGCACATCCTCCTCTTCTAAAACTTCATACCTTCTCCCAAATCCTCATTCTAATTGATGATTTTGCTAGTGTCTAAGGCTTGCCTGTAGCCTATCTGGGAGATAGTGAAGGACAGGGGAGCCTGGTATACTGAAGTCCATGGGGTCACAAAGGACTGGACATGACTCAGCGACTGAACAACAACAACACAGCCTATTCTTAGTTCAGCAGCCAGAAAAGTTTTAAAACCTACACCTAAAACCCTACACTGGCTGCCGCTCTGTCTCATAGTTGAACTGGTGTTCACAATGGTCCTGCTACCTTGTGACTCCAAACCTGACATTCTCTCCCTCACTCTGCTTCTGCCACTGCAGCCCCAGTCCAGAAGGCACAGCCCTGCCTCAGGGCATTTGCACTTACTGTTCTCTCTCCTAGGAAAACCTTCTCAATTATCTTCATGCAATTATCTGCAAGTATTGCTCTCTTGACTCCTTTAAGTTGCTGCTCAAATCACCTTATTAACAAGGCTTTCACTGAATAACCTGTTTAAAAACTGCAAGCAAACTTTCCTGGTGGCGCAGTGTTTAAGAAACTGCCTGACAATGCGGGGCACGTGAGTTCGATCCCAGGCCCAGAAAGATCCCACATGCCCCGAAGCGACTAAGCCTGTGGGCCACAACTACTGAGCCAGTACTCTAGAGCCCTCAAGCTGCAACTACTGAGGCCAGTGTGCCCTAGAGCCCATGCTCGGCAACAACAGAAGCCACTGTAATGAGAAGCCTGAACTCTGCAATGAAGAGTAGCTGCTGCTCCCTGTAACTAGAGAAAGCCCCAGTACAGCAATTAAGACCCACTACAGCCAAAAAATAAATAAATAGATCTTAAAAAAAATGAAAAAAAAATACAAACCTATTAAAAAACAACAACAACAACAGCAAGCACTCTTGCCATACCAGCATTTTCTATCTTCTTTCTTTGTCTTATTTTTCAGCACAGCAGTTTATCACTATTTATACATTTTATTTGCTTATTTATTTATTATCTGTCTCCTTACATAGAATGTAATCTCTACAAGGAAATTATTTTTGCCTATTTAGTGCATTTTTGTAACAGTGCCTGGCACATAATAGATACAAAATAAATATTTGTAGAAGGAAGAAAGAGGATAGGAAGGGAGAGTGGGAGGGAGGATGATTTCTTCAAGGCTAGGCACGCAGCTTCCCAAGCATGAAGACACAGAACGGTCCAGACTGAAAGAGGGCACAGGGTCAGCAGGAAGCAATCGAGCTGAGATGGGCCCTCCCTCTGGGACTCAGGGTCCCGTCTTCTCCGTGTCAGGATACAGCTGGTCCCATGGCCTCTTATTATTATTAAATTTTTACTTATTTATTTACTCTTGGCTGTGCTGGGTCTTTGTTGTTGCAGCGACTTTTCTCTAGTTGCAGAGAGCAGAGGCTACTCTCTAGTTGACGGTGCTTGGCCTTCCCATTTCGGTGACTTCTCTTGTTGCTGAGCATGGGCTCTAGGGCGCGCGGGCTTCAGTACATATGGCTCATGAGCTCAGTAATTGTAGCCCCCCGGGGTTTTGGAGCACAGATTCAATAGTTGTGGTACATGGGCTTAGTTGCTCCACGGCGTGTGGGATCTTCCTGGACCAGGGATCAGGCCGTGTCTCCTGCATTGGCAGGCAGGCAGATTCTTTACCACTGAGCCACCAGAGAAGTGGGCCTCTCACTATCATGAACAATTTCCTCTGGCCTTCAGGACACAGCCTCCGTGTGTGCTGAGAGTGACAAAGGATGTTTTCCCAGTGCCAGCCACCCACTTCCACTTACTTACTTAGCTATGGAGAGCACCTTCTTGACTAAAAGCTCAGTGCTGGCCAGTTGCAGTTTATTTTGATGTTGCAAATATTTTGACGCCTGCTCTATTTCACGTGTGCTCACATGCTCACCGCTGTGCCTCTCTGGGTCCCATAGAACTCCCCGTGAGAAAGAGGAGGCATTAAGAGGAAGAAGTCCTTGGCGCTGATAGGGAACTTGGGGGCCATCTAGGCCAGCACCGTGGCACTCCCTAAAGACCTCTGGATAGACTTCAGTAATTCTGTGAACTCCCTGAGCTTTGTTGAGTATTTTTCTTGAAGCAAGAGCCCAGTTTTCCTTAGGTTTTCCTAGGGATCCATATCCAGCAAAGAGTTAAGAACTCTGATTTAATTCTACCTCTCAATTTACAGGTGAGAGATGGAAACCCAAAGGGGTGGATTGACTTGCCTAGGGTCACAGGACAGAGCTAGCATTTGAACTCTTTTTCCAAACGGGTAACAGATGCAAACACTTTGCACAGTGTCACCAGGAGGCTTTACTGTCAGGGGCCTCTGGGATGCCAGTGGGTGAGACCACACACAAGAATGTGGTCCTTCAGGCCTCACTTATGGGCTGGGGATGTCAGGAGCCGACAGCCCACAGCATCCACCCTGTGGCCGGAGGGGTAAGTATGAGGGGATGAGCACCCTCTCTCAGGGCTTTGCAGAGACCAGTGGTCAAGCCGTCAGCAGTCCTGGCTCTCATTCTCCCTCACCCTGTGGCTTATTCCCTGGGTCTTTTGGGGGAAGAAACTGGCTTTCTGCCTCAAGACCATTCCAACCTAACATGTTCCCAATAACTTCTGCTCTCTTTGTCTGTTTTTCAATGGGGGTAAACTCAGTTGGCTGTGTGCCATTGACATTCAAATAGCTTCTGAAGACCCACTGTCTTCCATAGGATGATAAGAGGCCGTGGACTTTCCCAGGACCTGCAAACCCTGTTTGCAGGTAGAACTCAGCCTTTACTCCTGATTTGGAAATAATACATTATCTATTCACATCTTCATTTGGCCTCTTCAAAAGCACTTTGGATTATCTCAACAATCCTTTCAACTACCTTACCAGGTAGATACTAATAATCACCATTTCATAGAGAGGAATTGAAGCCCTGAAGTCCATTGACTTGATCAAGGTCACGGAGCTGCTGGAGGCAGCCCTGGGAATTGAGTCTAGACCTTGTCTTTTCTTCTTCTCCCCATTCTGGCATTCCATGCTGTCTCATTTGTGGTCTTTGCATCCTCTGCACTTAGGGCTTCAAGGGGTGAGAAGCGGGGACTTTGTACAGGGAACATTTTTCAGTGTTTCTTTGCAGGAGAGGGCAAAAACCAGTCTCCCTTGGTTGGCTGAGCTAGGCGCAATGGGAACCACTCCAGTGAAGTCTCAGCTACAGAGGCCAGTTGTGGGGCCAGGGCCAGGTGTGGGGTGGGCAGCAGGGCTGCAGGCAGGGAATGCCAGGGCTGGCCAGGGCACCCACTACCTCTTAGGTCAAAAACACCTCTTTGCTGAGAGGCTGAGACCACAGAGGAGGAGCCTTAGAATGCTTCTCCTCGAAGGTCTCTGCTTCCGTGGTGCTCGGGTTAGCAGAGGCTAGAGTTTCCCGTGGGAGCTGGTGGGGGTATTTGGATAGGTCTCGGACTCCTGGCCCTGCTGAGGGCAAGGCAGAGGGTCACATCTGTCCAGTGCTCAGCCTCCCAGTGGCTCCAAGTTTTTCATTTCCCTCTTCTCCTCGTCCAGATGGAGCCCATCTCACCCTTCATTCCCTCCCTGACCGATGTTAGTAATATATCAGGTCCTCCTAGGCCCTGTGACCGATACATTCTGAAGGTAAAAATATAAGCCTATCAGTATTAGTTACTATAGCGTATCACAAACACCATTCACTGACTTCTCAGGTAAAAAGCAAAAACCCAGCAGAGGCAGTTGAGCAGCAAGAGTCCATCAAAGAGGGGGTGGGGATTCTGGTAGATGCTCCTCCATCCTACGTCCCCATCCCATGAAAGCATTTAGCTCTGCAAAACCCATGGACAACACCCACTGCCCGGCCTACCCCCTCCCCACCAGTCACCTTCTATGGGGGGCAGGAGCTGGGGAAGGGGGCTGCCGGCCCCCCGCCGGGGTGAAGCCTGAGGTCCGTCAGCATCTGCTGGGCTGACTTCTTTCACCTTCAGTGTGGGTCCTAAGGCCGCGTCTGGAGCTGTGGCTGCCTCCATGCTGGGCCACCCAGAGGCTGGGCTCCAGGGGAAGATTTTCACTGTTGATGGTGAAGGAGGGGCTGAGCACCTGCTCTCCAGCCTGGCCTCCCCAGGGTAATGTAACTGGGCTGTCCTGTTCCCACCCAGCGACTCCCATGAGGGATGAAGCAGGGGCTAGAGGAAGAGGGGGAGCAGATCACAGCCCGGAATAGCTGCAGGAGGAGGGCCCAGTGGCCCTGTTATCTTGGGAGAGAGAGGACACCTCTCACACAGCACCAGTGAGGGAGGGGAGCGCTTGAGCTTCAAACAGCCCCTCCCTGCTCAGACCATTCACATGGGGACTCTGGCTTCTGGGGGAAGGACTGGTCGACATCTCAGATCCTGATCTCCAGCTCATCCAAGGGTGTCTGGGTCCACAGGAAAAGGGCCCCATCCCCTCCTTTCCACCCCACCCACCTGCCCCATGGAAATGGAAGGCAGAGTCTGCACCCTGGAGCCAGACCCCCAACTCACTTTGGCTCCATCACCAATTGCCTGTGCCTTGTAACAAGTCTCTCTTAGGTCTGTTTCCTCATCTGTGAAATGGAGATAACAGTCTTAGGGCTTTTGTGAGCATTCAAAGAGGTAATCTGTGTAAAGTGCTTAGCGGGTGTGTAGCCAACAAAGTGCTTGATAAATGTAAGCTATTTTTAGGTTGGGCCAACACTTAACCCTTCCAAACCTCCCTTGCCTGTGAGATAAAACCACAAGTGAGAGACAGCAGTTGTGAGAGGGGAGTCAGGGGCATGGGGTCAGAGGACTTGAGTGTGACCCTGGCTCTGCTACTTACTCCTCTGCTAGGCAGCCCTGGGAAAATCATGGACTCTGGTCTAAGTCCCAAAATCTGGAACTTAGGTCCCTGGTCTATGAAATAAGGCATGACGATGCCAAGGTAGTGTTGAGGATAAAATGGTAAAAGTGTATGAAAGTGGCCAGAGCACAGTAGGTGTTACATAACCTTTAGTTACATACTAAAGGTCCTGTGTGATTTCTAGGCTCACTAGACCATCACTTACACCTTCCATTCAGTCCAGCCAATAGATCAGATTTCCTATCATACTCTCCCTTTCTCATTTCCAGAAGCTGGCATCTCCTCTGTGAATATATATATTTTATGTGAATATATATATATATATTTAAATAGTCTTTAAAAGAGCAGTTTTAGGTTCATAGCAAAGCTGAGTAGAAAGCAGCAAGTTTCCACATCCCTGCTTCCCCCTTTTTAAAGGAAACCAATGAGTATGGTTCAATGAATGAACTCCTTACTCATTTTTCCCCTTTGGCCCTCAAATTGGGGGCAGCCAATAGGATCCTGGGAGTCTGTGTTACTACCTTGGGTCGTGGGACAGAAGCCCAGAACTCATCTTTGCAACTTGTATTGGGACTGAGGGCCAGGACAACTTGTAGACCCACTTGCGATCCAGGAAACTGTTTTATCAAGAGCCAGGATGGCTGAAGAGGGTGACTATAGAGCTTGACCTCTGGGGTTGGTGGTGAGAGGCTATGCTGTGTTATGTCAGGACTCTCATGTGTAAAGGCCTTTCTGACTTATTTCTCTTATATGAATCAGCCAGAGCCCTTACAGGTCCGGACAGTATACCAGGGTACTCCACACACCCCTCTTATCCCCATGCTTTGAAGAGATTGGTTCAGGCTTTTGGTCTTAGCTCCTTGTTGCAATTGAAGGTATGAAAGAATCAAATAGAAAAGGCCAACTCCTAGGGTCTTATCCACTGGAAAGGCTAATTTAGTAGGTCTTGATGGGATATGCATTTATTTATTTATTTATTTTGGGGGGGGATATGTATTTGAAAAAGCAAGTTACTGATTCTGTCGCAGGAAATCTGAGAACACTATGTTAGACAGAATTCTTGAAAATAAATCACCCTGGATAACCTCCCCAGGGGGAGGACTCTTGCAGCAGACATACGGTCGTCAGGAGCAAGGTCTCTGCCTGGTCATCTTCACACCATGGCCCCAGAGTAAACATTATATGGAAAGACCCCCCAACCCAGGACAGCAGGCTAAGCAGTCGTCTGGCTTGGCTAAAAGCTAAACGGGGGTGGGCAGTAACCTCCACTAAAAGAAATATTTTGGAGTCAAGTTGCAACTCTTTGAAGGTCCTTAATGAAATTGGTTAGGAACGACTATGAGTAAGAGCAGCAGTAGAAATGTGAGAGAGGCAAGTGCACAAGCCTTGAAGGTAAACTCCTCAGTGCTGTCGTCTGTTGAACCTGCTAAAGGATCACGTAATTCAAGAGAGTAATGACATGTGGCTGCATCCAGAAGGAAGAATGCAGCACTCAAAGCTGAGAAGCTGTACCAGGTTGGGTCAGCCATACTTCTGGGGAGGAAGAAGAAGAAATCTGGTCTTACAAACACCCATGGTGGGGTAGATCTTTGAGAGCATGAAGAAGAAAAAAGTGAGTAGTTTTTCCCATAAATTACCTAATACCCTTCATGTAGGACTTACAGACACATCGTCCTGGCTCATTAATTGATGTTCTCTGATTGCTGGGGTTCGATTTTTGAAGCTAGAAAAGTGGAGAAACTTTCATATTAACAAACTGTAGCTCAGTCATTTTAGTAGGTCAGGTAATAAAGTCCAGTCTGTTTTATTTCTAACCCAAATATTGCAAATATACAGAAAATTACCAGTACAAAGTTAAACACATCCAGATTTATTTACACAGTGCTAAAGAAATTTGAGTTTTATTTCCATTTTGTGGAATTTTATTCTGGGGTCTGGCTTTGTTGTGCAACTGACATAGGTCATTGAAACTTGATTATCCCACCTCACATGCAATTTTCTGTCCCAAGGGAACAGAAAACTTGGGTTTTTAGTGCACATGCAGTAATGATCTTAATACTGCTTTAGACTTGAGTAGGAAGCCTATCTGACAGCTTGGGGAGGAGGCAGAGAAGTTACAGAACCAGGAGGGACCACATGCTCAGACAGGGAACAGGAAACAAAAGAGGGATGGATACCAGGCACACATGGGGACCCTGAGCATATCTGTGCACGAGGATAAGGAGGGTACCATCAAAACCCTACCCTCCTCCCTGGACGTCCAAACACAGGAGGTGGGCAGAATCATCAGGAACATTCAAGTCAGGTGACTACAAACTGAGGGCATGCGGAGGATGAGAACTGCATTAAGGATTTGGGCATATCATTAACATGTACACTATACAGTTTATACATGTATATATGTACACACACACACATATATATATAGAAAGGTACAGATTAGTTTATGTTATTCTATATAAACAAGGATGCTTAAGAATGTACCGGTGTGAAAAAAAATGCATACAGTAAGCTGTTGAAGACAATTTCTAATTAGAGTTCTGATTCTTATTGTTACAATGCAAAGTAGCCAAGAAATCAACATATTCCTGCTATTTCAATCATCCTCCATGAGGGCGAGGCCTTGGCCCTCCTGGGGCAGGACGGTGTCCCTGGCGCAACCTGAGCTGGGCAAACTGGTGGCAGATGGAACAGTCTGGCCTCCCTATCACTATCATGTGGAAATTTTAAACTTTGGTTTTTGTTTGAAGGACATGTAAGTCCATGTTTATTTACCTGCTTGAGGGAAGGTAGTAGCAAAGTTGAAAGAAGAGCTGAAGCTCTTCCTATTTTAGCAGTTCCAAGTACCCAGGTTAATGTGGGGCAAGGGGGCGGTACCAACAGTGAGCAGGGTGAGCTCCAAGCCACTGCATACAGAAACAGGGCTCTTTAAAACTCTCCTAAGAGGAAACACGAAACTCTCTACGGGAATCATTTGCTTAGAAAACAAAGACTGAAGCCAGGCCAGTCCTGCCACGTGGGGTGGATGTGGACAGCCCTGCACTCCTCTATCCTTGTCCCATGGTGAAGGCCACGGGAGAACCAGCTGTTGACAGAGCCAGTGGTGGCCAGCACATTACTGATCTGCCAGGGATGAAAGGCCAGCTTCGGCATGCAGGGGCCCAGAGGTAAACCTAAGAATGAGACAGAAACACTGGAAAGCCTATTCAGAGGCAGATGACAAATTCTAAAGCTTTAGTTACAGCTCATCTATTGAATCTCCTGAGCCCAGCCTAGAACTGCCACAGTCCTCCAAACACTTTCACTCTTCTAAGTGGTGCTCCCATTCCATGGACAGCTTAGGCCTATGCATCCCTGGTCTCAGGTCTCAATGAAAACCAAAAGCCCTCTTAAGTCCAAGACACCTGTCCACAGAGCATGAAAGATGGTGAGTTTGCCACCTGGATTTCAGAGCTCAGATCACTCTGGACAGTCTGCTATGTCCAACCTACCTTACGATGCTAACTTCTATTACTGAAACAATCCCTTTTGCTATTAAGCCTGAGACTACACAACTTTATTTTCAGAAATAATGCTCCAACCTGACATCAGTAGGACAAATCAGAAATCTTTCTTTCTTAGGAGCTATCGTGGATCTATTAAGCTGTTTTGGTCTTGGGCCGAGGACATAAGCCCAAGCATCTCTCTTGTGAGATGCGGAAGGCTAGCCAGCCAGGCTTGCTAGCAGTCCTCAAACCAACTAAGTTCTCCAGCCAGTCATGGGTGGGAGGACAAGGGAAATGGAGAGGGTGACTCATCAGTGGAGATTCCATTCCCACACTCTTGAACCACCGTGACCCTCAATGACATAAGCAGCGGTTTCTAAACACATACTCAAAATTACCATTACTTTTGCTTTCAGCCATGAAGAACAGAAGGCATGAAAAATTTCCTGTTTACTAAGGTGGCAAAAGAGCTCTACATGCTACTCTGAAAGAAAGGCCACTGACCCATGCCCTGAAGAACTGCAAGACGTTTGTAAGAAAGCAGCCTGCTCCCACGTGGCAGCAAGAGCATCCATCAAAGTGCATGAGATCCGAAGACAATCACCGTCACCACTCGGGACTCACAGGGACCCTGACACCTTTACTCCATTTTTGTACCTCAGCTCCATCTCTAATGGGGATTA